CAAAAATTAAGCAACAAAACAATAAATGATCAGTGCTGATATGGTTTGGACTTGTGTCCCCAGCAAATCTCTTGTTGAAAAGTAATCCCCAGTGTTGGAGGTGGGATCTGGTGGGAGGTGATTGGATCATGGGGGCAGACCCTCATGCCTTCAACCTGTCCTCAAGACAGTGAGTTCTCCCAAGATCTGGTTGTTTAAACATGTGTGATGTCTCTCCCTCTACTCTCTCATGCTTGCTCCTGCTTTCTCCATGTGAGATGTCTGCTCCTCCTTCACCTTCTGCCGCAACTGGAAGATTCCTGGGGCCTCCCCAGAAGCTGAGCAGATGCCAGCACATTTCCTGTACAGCCTGCAGAGCTGTGGGCCAATTACATGCCTTTTCTTTATGATTTACCTGGTCCCAGGTGTTTCTTTACAGCAATGCCAGAATGGCCTAACACAAGTGCTTTGCATGTGTTCATTTTACAAAATTGAAGAGTGGGAATAAGAAAAGATGCATTGCTCTGAATACATCATGTATTTTGAAATACGTAAAATAAGCTACATTTATTCCTATTAGATAACCAGAAAAAAAAAGATAGTCTAGATTTGGGCCTCTTAAATATTAAATGATATGAAGAAGGAGGAGACATGTCAAATGGAAGCAAAACATATCAAGCCAACATTAGAGTAATTCAGAAAAAATTTGTATAATAAGTAATAACTAAAAATTTACCACACTACCCAAAGATATCTAGAAAAGTAATCATGTATAATTTCTGTTAATAACACTGATGACTAAAATTAAAACACATTACTTTAAGTTAAATGAATGGTTCTAGGAAAATATGGTGAGACAAAGATGACAAAATGTCCCTCCTTCAAGATCTACTGGAATTTATACATTGTCCCCCAAATAAATGCATTTCATTAGAACAAGAATTGTATTCCCCAAAAAATTAAGCATTTATTCTGACTTCCTTAACTATACTAAAGGATACTCAAATAGCTGTAGCAGTAGAGAAAATCTTTCTTTATAGAATAATTCTGTAGAAGTTTTTTTACACAAGAATTTTAGCTAACACATGTTAAAAGAGTAAAGGAAAAGAATGGCATTAGCAAAATCACTGTTTTGCAATGACAGGACATTTACAAAGAAAGGATGTGGCTGCCACCACTTGATACACTGATCAGTCACTCGTGTGGCCGTTAAAGTGGCAGGTCCAGGCACATGTGCCTCCAGATCCCATGCAAGCTGAAGTAGACAGCAAGCCTGACCAAGTGTCTTAGCAACGACATCAAAATCAAGCTGAATTTAATCAAACCTAGATGTAAATTCCAACTAATTGGAAATACATGGAAGACATGTTTAAAAACTTTCACAATGCAAAGTTCTTTAAAGAACACACAATTGCTTGAAGAACTGCTATTGTTGTATCTCGGCTGGATTATGAAATTTGAGAGAGATAATGGAGGCAAAACATGAAAGTTGTGGGAAGTTCATGGCATTCCTTAAAAGTTATGTCAAGGAATTTAAATCCTATTCTCAGGCCACCATTTCCCCAAGTGTTCTGAGATATTGATATTTGTTTTTCAGTCTTTAAAAGGTGAGTTGGGTGTTCCCTTTTTTAATAAGTTTAGAAAACATATTCCTTTCCATTAATAATGTTCATGGCCTGGCATGGTGGTTCAAGTCCCTCTAACAATCCTGTTGACATTTTGGCTGTGATTGGTTTTATCGAATCTAAGGTCAGTGTAGGGACAGTTAACATCTTTACCATATTAAATTCTCCAATCTAGGAACATGATACATCTTGTTCATTTAGGTGTTGTGGTTTCTGTGCAGACCTCCAGCACACATTTTATTAGATTTATTCCTTGGTATTTGATTTCTGCTTTTGATGGTTTTGCATATGGTATCACTTTAAATTTTTAAATATATGTTTGTTGCAACTGTATAACAATGCAATTATTATTTCTATGTTAATCTTATATCCAGTAACTTTGCTAAAATTATTAATTCTAAAAACTTGTTTTTTGGGTTTTCTGTGTACACCATCAGCATCTACAAATAAGGGGAGTTTTAGTTCTTTGTATTTTAACTTGCTGGTTAAAAAGACTGAATTAATGAACATAGCAACTTTCTCTCAATTAATACAAGGACTTGACATCACTCCCCCACATGCCTTTTTACTGTTATTCTCATGTAATATTTTATTTTCACTTGTTTTATAGAGCAAGAGGTTTTTAATTTTAATGAAGTTCAACTTAAACCAATTTTTGCCTTTATGGATTGTACTTTCCTGTTAGGTCTAACTAAAAACTCATTACCCTGCCCTAGGCCCCAGATATTCTTCAATGGTTTTTTCCTAAAATGTTTATAGTTTTACATTTTACATTTGAGTCTCTGACCCACCTCGAGTTAATTTTATATTTTGCCATGAGGACCCAGGCATCCTAAGGTTTCTGTATGGTTTGGGAGGTGGGTAGAGCCATGTATTCTCTCCCCCTCCTCTCTCCATGAGTGGAGTCTGCAAAAGATGAAGATGCTTCAAGTCAGAACCAACTTCACATCAGCAGGATGATTTCTTATTTTGGGGCTGGTGGCTCCTCCAGAAACCTCTGGTGAGTGAGTCAGTGGAGGAGTGTGTGCCTCATCTACTTTGAGTAGGGAATGCATTTGGGACATGTTGGATGCACAGCTTCAAGGAGACAAGTCCCCTTTCTTCTGCCACTTCTTGGCCTCAGCCTCACACTTTACCAATCACATAAACAGTCAATTAACATGTTTTGTATGTTATATGTTTCACACACTGTATTCTTACAATAAAATAAGCTAGAGAAGAGAAAATGTGATTAAGAAAACCACAAGGAAGATGACATAGTTTCACTGTTTTTTAAGTGGTAGTGGATCATCATAATGGTCCTCATTTTTGTCTTCATGTTGAGTAAGCTGAGAGGGAGGAAGGAGAGGGGGTTGGTCTTGCTGTCTCTGGTGGCAGAGGTGGAAGAAATTCTTAAGTGGACACATGCAGTTCAAGTCCATGTTGTTGAAGGATCAATTGTAGTTGTTGTTTTTGTTTTAACATATTTAATTGTGAAATAAAACATTGCTCCTGAAAAGTACACATAATATAGAAGAAAAGTTTAACAAATTTTTGGGAAGCAACCAGATGGAGAATCAGGACGCTGCTGGCACCCAGAGGCTTCCTGTGTGCTTCTTCCTGATTGGCTCCCCCGCCTTCCCCATCCAGCCCCCGACCTTTCTTAGAGTAACCACGTTTGCATTTTATGATAGTAACTAATATCTTTTTTATTTTTGCTTTGCTTTGTAGATTTGGTGTCTGAGAGTGCTTCCCTTAAAAGTGTCTGTGGACTTTCTTTATGTAGAAATGGAGTTATTCTCAGTGTATACTTTTATATCGGGCTTTGTGTGTGTGTGTGTGTGTCTGTGTGTGTGTGTGTGTGAGAGCGAGAGAGAGAGAGATAGGCTTTCACTGTGTCGCCCAGGCTGGAGTGCAGTGTTGCAGTCACAGCTCACTGCAGCCTCAACCTCCCCAGGTTCAGGTGATCTCCCTCCTAAGCCTCCTGAATACCTGGGACTATGGGTGCGTGCCACCACACCTGTCTAATTTTTGTACAGATGGGGTTGTGCCATGTTGCCCAGGCTGGTCTCAAACTCCTGGGCTCAAGCAATCCACCCATCTTGATCTTTCCAAAGTGCTGGAATTATAGGCATGAGCCGCTATGGCTGGCCTATATCTGGCCTCCTTTAGTTAAAAAAAAAAAAGTATATATTTTGGCCGGGTGCAGTGACTCACATCCTGTAATCCCAGCACTTTGGGAGGCTGAGGCAGGCAGATCACCTGAGGTCGGGAGTTCAAGACCAGCCTGGAGAAACCCCGTCTCTACTAAAAATACAAAAAAATTTAGCCTGGTGTGGCGGTATACGCATGTAATCCCAGTACTCGGGAGGATGAGGCAGGAGAATTTCTTGAACCCAGGAGTCGGAGGTTGCAATGAGCTGAGATTGCACCATTGCACTCCAGCCTGGGCAAAAAGAGTAAAACTGTTTTCAATAAAAAAAGTATATAATTTTAAGATTTCTATTCCATTATATGAGTATATCACAGCATATCTGTTCTGTTGATGGAAAAATGAAGGTGATCTCCAGTTGTTTTTTTTTTTGAGACGGAGTCTCACTCTGTCATCTAGGCTGGGATTACAGGTGTGTGCCACCACACTTGGCTGATTTTTTATATTTTTAGTAGAGACAAGACTTTGCCATGTTGACCAGGCTAGTCTGAAACTCCTGACCTCAGCCTTTCAAAGTGTTGGGATTATAGGCGTGAGCCACCATGCTCAGCCCAGTTTTTCAGTTTTGTTCTTGCTAATGATGCTGCTGCTGTGACCTTTTGTGTATATCTCTTGGTGTGTTTGTGCCAGTGTCCCAGGGTGTGTGTACCTAGAAGTGAAGGCCACACTTATCTACAGTGGGTATAACAAATTAGATATTCAGTTGCAGTATTTCAGTTTCGTTGTTTTACATCTTCATCACTTTTTTTGCCATTCTGGTAAGTGTGTATGTAGCTCATTGCCAGTTCAGTGTGCATTTGCTTACTTGTTAACCCAGTTGGTCATTTAGAAATGTTTATTAGCCATTTATTTCCTCCTTCATGAAATGTACATTTTTCTTCTCCATTATCTATCTTATACATGTATATGTGCTTATATATTTACAATACAGGTCTATTGGTATGTTTTGCAGTATCTTCTACTCTGTGACTCTTTTTTCACTGTGGTATTTTGAGAAATTGAAATATTTAATTTTAATGTAAAATTTATCAATCTTTTATGTTGTGGTTATTGCTTCTTGTGCCTAGTTTAAGAAACTTTACTCCAAGGTCATGATGAGATTCTCTTATACCATCTCCTACTGCTAACCACTTATCAAATACATTTGGTAGCAAATGTTTTTTATCTCTACAGAACCAGTATGAAAAGAAGTAGAAGCAGCTTAGGGGGTAAAGATTCTTGGAAAAGACCTGGAGAAAACCTTGGCTGGTTTACCCCTCCTCGTGGCTTATAAAGAAGATGAAATCCCTGTTCTTAAAATAAGTTCATTTAATATTTTTATTCCTCAAAAGCTATTTGAGTTCTGGCAAGTGTCAGCAGTACACATGCTAGGGATGGTGACCAAAACTGCTCTTTGTCTTTGTGAAGCCTGCCATCACTTGGCTTCTTAGCAAACTCAGTGCTTTTAAATTATTTCAGTTTGCACAATCCTAGGAGTTTGTATCATTTTTATGTGTACTGGAATTCTAAAAATAATGCATTTTATTCAAATAAAAAAGAGAGTCAAAAGCTAGAAGTCAGCTTGACATAGTGACGCATGTGTTTAATGCCAGCTACTTGGGAGGCTGAGACAGGAGAATCACTTGAACCCGGGAGAAAGAGGCTGCAGTGAGCCGAGATCATGCCACTGCACTCCAGCCTGGGTGAAAGCGAGACCCTATCTCAAAAAGAAGCTAGAAGCTGTATATTCTTTATAGTTACTAGTAGTCATCTTAAAGCCTGTTTGCCTGTTTAAACGAGCAGTTGGCCCATGTCCATTGTAGTTTCATGAAAGTAGACTTTGAGCCATAGTTTGTTCACTTGCCAAAGAGAAAACAACTGTTCCCAGCTCATGGCTCTTGTGTTCTGGGGCCGTGTTTATTTAGGCAGCATCGAGCCATGCCGCTGGGAATAAGCTCTCTCAGGGCCCGTGACAGAATAGGGCAGGCCTGCCTCTTCGCCTAGTCCTGAGTATGGAGTAGACTTATGTCCCTTCAATGGCATTGATAAACTTGTCCTGGTTAAAAATCTCTTCTCCATTTCCAGAGGAGCAGTGATGAGGAAGGAACTGCTGAGATCGTGAGATTATGATAGTTCCTACCATTATAAGTCGTACTGAGCTTTCGGGCTACCATAACACATTACATTTATGTGGTGCTTTTTTAACTTTAAAAAAATTTTTCATCTCTACTATTTAATTCTGCCCACCCACCTACTGTATTTGCCAAGTGGAGCAGAGATTAAATGTATTTCAAAGTTGGTAAACCTAAGACAAAGGTGAATCAGCATACAGCTCGTGTATGGCCCCCAGAATCTCCTCCATTCCAGCACAGGTTCTATTATGCCTTGCTCTCTCTAAGCCTTGGTTTCATATTTGCAGATGAGTACTGAACCAAAGAGAGAAACACAATTTTTAGACTGCTGATGATAGAAGTGTGTTGACAGCCTTATCAAATCTGATTTCCTTTCAAGGATGAATTGATCCATGAATTAAAGCAGACACTAAATGCTATCAAGTTAGAAGAAAAAGGAGTCTATGTCCAGGCATCTACACTGGGTTCTTTGGAAGCTCTACTTGAATTTCTGAAAACATCAGAAGTGCCCGTAAGTAACTACACCTAGCTCCACAAGTGGGTGGTGGTTGGTCGTGGTTTTTTGGTGCCATCACATTACCTGATACATAGAGATAAACCTGGAAACTCCCATTTTTGCAGTATGCAGGAATTAACATTGGCCCAGTGCATAAAAAAGATGTTATGAAGGCTTCGGTGATGTTGGAACATGACCCTCAGTAAGTAATTTCTCTTGCTATGAAGGCTTTCATGTTACCTACCTGTCTTAAAACTGTTCTATCTTAAAAAACTGTCCTCTGTGACTTACTCTGGTTTTGATTGAAGGGTCTTTGATGTGTTTAAACCTTTTAGGTATGCAGTAATTTTGGCCTTAGATGTGAGAATTGAACGAGATGCCCAAGAAATGGCTGATAGTTTAGGAGTTAGAATTTTTAGTGCAGAAATTATTTATCACTTATTTGATGCCTTTACAAAATATAGACAAGACTACAAGAAACAGAAACAAGAAGAATTTAAGTAAGTTACTGTTTTTATTTACTTTAAGTCTTTGTGAATGAACATGGTTGAGAATTACTGAATTCTAGAAAGGGCTGTCAACAGCAAGAGCATGGCATTTACTCATCTACCAGAGGCTGCATCCTGAAGTGGTGTGTTACAAACCAGCCCAGCATCCTGGGGACATTCCAGCAGTGTGCAAACAAGTCTTGTCTGTGACCTTTCAGTTTAATGATCTTGGCAGTCTTGGGTGTCTTTAACGGGTTAGTAGTTAATTAAATTTGGGGACTTTATCTTGTATGGGTTCTTTATCTGGGATTGCATAGAAGTAACAAAATTTGAGTGAGGAAAACTGGTAAATAAGGTAAGAGATTCTGTGGGAGAGAAATCCATTCCTGTACCAAACTTTGCTAGTACTCACAGTGCATACACTGCTGTAGTGGTAGAGGAGGGATCAGCAGAGAACCAGGTCAGGCTCCCTCCTCTTGGAGGTGAGAGGACACTTTTTTTTTTTTTTCTTTTTTTTCCATTAAGACAGGTCTTTCTCTGTCACCCAGACTGTAGTGCAATGGCGTGATCATGGCTCACCCCAATCTCTGCTTACTGGGCTAAAGTGATCCTCCGCCTCAACCTCCCGAGTAGTTGGGACTACAGGCTCACACCATTATGCCTGGCTGATTTTATGTATTTTTGGTGGAGACGGGGTTTTGCCATGTTGGCCGGGCTGGTCTTGAACTCCTGAACCCAAGTGATCCTCCTGCCTTTGCCTCCCAGAGTGCTGAGATTATAGGTTTGAGCCCCTGCACCTGGCCTGGGACATGGTCTTATGTGAGACAATCAACACATGTATGAGAAGTTCTAAAAACCAAATAAAGCAGGGAAGGGCCTAGATAAAGAGAGGAGGGGCTGTGATTAATGATGTGGTTGGGGAAGGCATCTCATCTCTTCAGACAGTAAGCTGCACAGGTACGTGGTGAGTGTCCAGATAGAATGGCAGTGCAAGGCAGAGTGACCAGAGGGGACAGTGATAGATGAGGTCAGAGAGGGTGGCGGGACCTGTATTGTCAAGGATCTTACAGGCCATGGGAAGCATTTAGCTTCTCTGAGTTGTGCAAGAAAGCACTGCCAAGGCTGTTGATTCACAATCAGAATGGTTAACTGGGTTGTTATGTGGACCTTGGGTTGTTAGGAAGTCAGTGACGAAAGCCTCTCAGGACGCTTCCATAGTCCAAGCAAGACGCTCAGGTGATTCACACCACACTGACGGTAGTGATGGCAGAGTTTGGGATACATTTTTAAGTGGAGCTTACTAGTAAATATTAGGGTTTAGACCGGTATATGCTCACTTTAGATCATGAAACCTCAAGAAGATTCTACTTGATTAGGAAGACTGCTGGAAACTTTTAAAGCACTTTAAGCATGTGCTCAATAAGCAGGCTAATTATGTAGTGACCTTTTTGGATCAAATGGTTTGGGAACGTGGTGGAGAAAAGGAGGGCGATAATATGGTTTGATGTCTATTTGGTCCCCCAGTAGCCTACACATGTGCCAAACAAAGACCTGTCACCAGGTACGACCTAGATTCTAAGCCCTAGAGTGTGGCTGACATCTTCAGCAGCCATGCTCAGAGTTTTAAACTAGGAACAGAACCTGTGATACAGCTTCTTTTGGGGTTAGGGTTTTAAAAGAGAAGAAAGCAAGGACTTGGGAAGCAATAGAATGGGAAGAGGTTAAGAAAAGGATGCTGTGCGCGGTGGCTCAAGCCTGTAATCCCAGCACTTTGGGAGGCCGAGGCGGGTGGATCACGAGGTCAAGAGATCGAGACCATCCTGGTCAAAATGGTGAAACCCCGTCTCTACTAAAGATACAAAAAATAAGCTGGGCATGGTGGCGCGTGCCTGTAATCCCAGCTACTCAGGACGCTGAGGTAGGAGAATTGCCTGAACCCAGGAGGCAGAGGTTGCGGTGAGCCGAGATCACGCCGTTGCACTCCAGCCTGGGTAACAAGAGCGAAACTCCGTCTCAAAAAAAAGAAAAAAAAGGAAGAAGTGCCTTGGGTATGGGATAGCTCTGGGCTGCAGCACCCTGCCTGCCCCTCTCCTGTGGCCGCTGAGGAAAGCTGCTTTCCTCTAAAGACAGAAGCTTCATGTTCAGCTGCACTTTTTCTTTCCATGTTTAGGTGATTCTGTAAGCTTAAAAATTCTTTTTTCTTTCAGGCACATAGCAGTATTTCCCTGCAAGATGAAAATACTCCCTCAGTACATTTTTAATCCTCGAGATCCGATAGTGATGGGGGTGACGGTGGAAGCAGGTCAGGTGAAACGGGGGACACCCATGTGCGTCCCAAGCAAAAATATAAGTTTCAGTTGCACATTTCGTTTCCCTCCTTCCCTACTAGACACAGGTTAGAATTATTGGAAAGACACCCATACAGGTGCCTGCCTCTTGCATGACCCAGGCTGCATCACTGCTGCCGATGCTCTGATTCCTTGGGGAAAGTGCTCGCTGCCAACCATCTCCATTAGAAACTTGCCCCTTGGTAATTACTCCGTAATCTGTCTGGTACCTAGAGTTCCTGATGGACATCCTGTTTCTTGACAGCCTTTATCGCAGTGGTTTTAGTACCCACTGGCAAGCCTTGCTTAAGTCAGCTATCAAATAGACAGTTAGAAAATTGTGGGTAACCCATCCCCCCCATCTCTTAGAAACAACCTCCTTCCCACTGACTTTTTTATCCAGTTATCCCATAGACTCAGCGGTTTTTTTGATGTGTTACAATCCATTACCTTTATTCTTTGGATACTCAGATTATCCAGTGTGTTCAGAGGATTTAAACTGGTTCCTGTATCCCCTGTATCCTTGACACACAACACGCTGGAGCATCTTCTTTCTTTCTGGTGCAGTGAAATGTTTCAGCCTCATCTAGTACTTTCCCTGCCCCAAACTGGTTCCTGTAATGGGCAATGGCACTTAGAAGTTGTCATAGCTTCTCTACCATTTCACTGGACTAAGCCAGGGCATTTATTTGTGGTAATTATTTTCTATGTGGCTTTGGCCTCCTAAACCAAAGCTCTCCCTGTTTTCCCTCTTAGTCTCTTGAATGTTTTTCTCCACAAGGTAGTCAGGGTTTTTTCCCCAAAACTCTGAGATCACGTCAGTCATCTGCTCACAGGCCATCATTCTTTAATTTCAGGATGAGGTCCTCAATATGACTTCATTCCCACCAGTCACCTCAAGCTCATTCCTGACTCAGACCCTCTGTCCCTGTTGATCCCTCCTGTTAGGACACCTGTCACGTAAAACAGTACAACAAAAATAGAAAATGACATTGGGTCAACAGGGCACTTGTAATGTTTTGCAGAGCGCATTATCTCCTGTCACTCTTACAACATGTGAAGGGAATAGGCTGTGTGGTGGTGCAAGCCTAATTTACCAGATGAGAATGCTACACTGTGAGACATTAAGTGATGAGTGAAGGATCGCACTGCCATGACTTTGAAAACAGTCTCTTGTGCTCCAGTTCTTACTTCAGCTATCCAGTCATGGATCCTGTGATGGGCATGAATTCTCCTGCATGCCCCTGTAATTTGTTCTTATTTTACAGTTTGTTGACATCGGAATAGTAACAAGTATTGAAATAAACCATAAACAAGTGGATGTTGCCACAAAAGGACAAGAAGTCTGTGTAAAAATAGAACCTATCCCTGGTGAGTCACCCAAAATGTTTGGAAGACATTTTGAAGCTACAGACATTCTTGTCAGTAAGGTAAGTATTTCAGGAAACATGGCAGAAGCTCCTTGGGCTTCAGGTTGATTGTAGAATCTGATGGGGCTGGATCCCCCATTAGGGCTTGATCTCTAGCTGGGCCTTGGCTGATGAGGAAGTTGCCCCATCAGGAAAGCAGCACCAACAGAGAAGCAGCTAGGACTTTTAGGTCCCCTTGTGCCTGACATGCCAACCAGATGTGATTTTGGAATTCTAGTCCCCTAGGCAGGCAAGCCCTGTTTTTATTTCTGCTTAAGCTTGATTACAGTGACAGCAGGCATCTGGGGCCACAGATTTTTTTTTTACCTGTTTGTGTTTACCCTGTTTGTGCCTCGGGCATTGAAGAACAGCTGGCAGTCCATTGATGCACTCAAAGACTGGTTCAGAGATGAAATGCAGAAGAGTGACTGGCAGCTTATTGTGGAGCTGAAGAAAGTATCTGAAATCATCTAATTTTTCCACGTGGAACGGGAACTGGAGAAAATGCAATACTGTGTTGTAACATCCCAACAAAACAAGACAAAAAATGGAACAGATATATCTGGACACTAATGGACTTAAATATGGAAGGAAGAAAAATAGGTGTATAAAATGTTTTCCATGAGAAACCAAGAAACTTACACTGGTTTGACAGTGGTCAGTTACATGTCCCCACAGTTCCAATGTGCCTGTTCACTCACCCCTCCTTTCCCCAACCCTTCTCTACTTGGCTGCTGTTTTAAAGTTTGCCCTTCCCCAAATTTGGATTTTTATTACAGATCTAAAGCTCTTTCAATTTTATACTGATTAAATCAGTACTGCAGTATTTGATTAACCAAGCTTCCGCAGATTTTGTGATTCTTGGGACTTTTTTGATGTCAGAAATACTTCTTTATTTATGCATATTCTTCCCAGCATTCTTCTGCCATATGCCTTTAGGGCTTTTATAAAATAGAAAATTAGGTATTCTGACATTTATCTGCTTCATGTGAAACCATGGTGTAAAAGCACAGCTGGCTGCTTTTTACTGCTTGTGTAGTCGTGAGTCCATTGTAATCATCCCAATTCCAAACCAAACTACCAATAAAGAAAAGAGACATCGATCAGTAAGCTCTGTTAGGCTTCCTTGTTAGTGTAGCTTCTCTCCCAAAAGTTGTCCTCCTAGGACAAGAATCATCTTACCAACAATGGTCACACTACCTTGAATGCCAGCACCTGGTAACAGTAGAGATTTTTATACATTAATCTCGGTATGTTTTGTCCTAGAAAATTCCATCATGCATACATTTCCTGATATTTGGGCTTAGTGCTTCTAAATTGTAGCAGGCAAACCTTAATGATTCATTCATGTAGTAATCTGTAGCTAGTTTTGTGGCTGTTTTGAAGTCAGTGTGGGGTGTCTGAGGAAAAAGTTCCAAATACCCACTAGCATAGACTTTTAAACTATTTTTTTATTTTAAAGTCACGGCAAAACATATAGCATAAAAATACTTTATATACGCTTGAAAATCTATACCGTTCCTTTTTATCATCAAAGTTTCTCAATGGCCAGTAGAGGCAAAGACAATACCACCTCTGATCTGTGGGACAATAATGTTCCCAGGAAAAAATCTTCAAGTGGGTGTGAGGGTGTTTCTAATTCAAAATATGTAGATTTCTCCGCATGGAAGAAGTAAAGATTTTCTTAACATGCTCCTGTGTTCGTGCTTGGAGACAAGAATAAGATGGTTTAGAAGCTTTACCCTTTCTTGGAACAAGTAGAATCCCGGTCTGAGACCTCTCAGGAATTTCAGAGCTTAGCAGTCTGGCCTGGAGGTTTTTCAGCCTTTTAGTATAATAAACAGTAGTTGCTTCCTAGAGTTGAGTTTTTAAGGATTCACAAAAAGGAGCCTGTACAAAATATACATACAGTTCTTTATTAAACAACTGTAAACACTTCACTGTAAAAATCCATAAAACTTTATAAACAAACATTTTGTAAATAGAATCTATGCTACAGTAAAAGAATTAACACAACTATTTACATGCAATACTGACAAATTTGGCACTTTTTGAAAAGAAATATACAAAACAGTTGCTTTAAAAGAAATTTAAAATTATAAAAACTCCGAGCATTACTATCATGCACTTTGCAAATACCTCACAAGCACTTATGGCACAGCTATCGGAGAGCATCAGGCTCTCTGGGTATATTTATGTAACTTTTAATGTGCTTCCATAAGTCTGTTGTAAAACCACCTGAACATTGTCAAGAATAAAGTCAAATGCCATATTCCAAACCGATTCCACCGATTGCTGCATCAACCTAAAGGTGGGGAGAAAAGAAACATCATTAGGAAAGGTCCTTAAAGACTATTCCTTTTTACATATAAAAATTGACTTTGGCCAACAAACAAAAAAAAAAATCCTGGCCGGGTGCAGTGGCTCATGCCTGTAATCCCAACAATTTGGGAGGCCAAGGCAGGCAGATAAGCTGAGGTTGGAAGTTCACGACCAACCTGGTCAACATAGTGAAATCCCATCTCTACAAAAAAATACAGAAATGAGCTGGGCATGGTGACACGCCTGTAATCCCAGCTACCCAGAAGGTTGAGGCAGGAGAATTGCTGGAACCCAGGAGGCAGAGGCTGCAGTGAGCCACTCCAGCCTGGTGACAGAGTGAGACTCTTGTCTCCAAAAAAAAAATTAAAAATCCCAAAACACCCAAGAAACCATTTTCTTTTTTTGAGAGAAGGTCTCTATCAACCCGGATAGAATGCAGTAGTACAACTACTGCTCACTGCAGCCCCCACCTCCCGACTGAGACCACACATGCCACCACGCCCATATTATTTATTTTTTTATTTTTCAGTAGAGATTAAATTATGCCATTTTGGCCAGTCTGGTCTCAAATGATCTACCCACTTCAGCCTCCTGACATGTGAGCCACTGTGCCTAGCCCACTTCCTATGGTATTTTAATCACGTGTAAGAAAGACCTTGAAGACAACACACTTTGATCTTATTTACTACTCAGTCAATATAGCACTTCTTTCTCTGGGATTTCAAAATAAAGGATATCACTTTTTCATTAATCCTAATGAGTAGTCTCCCAGAAAGTTTACAAATTCTCAGTAGTACACCCTCAATTAGTCATTGTGACATGCCATTTTTTCCCCCATTTGATAAAAGTGATGAATTACCTTTTCATGTATTTTATAACTAGATCCAGTTTTTCCAAATCTTTTTCCTCTATTAGATCAGTACAGTATTTCACAACCTGCAAAATGTCTTCTTCCATTGGATCTAGGAAGGGGAAAAACTTCAAATGAGGACCAGTATATCTTTTTGAAGGAGAAAGGCAGAAATCTGCAAGGATAAAGGAAAACTGCATTTCTACAACTATACCACTAACCTACGGCTCTCAAAGGAATGGGCTTTGTTACTTTTCAAAGCAAGCCCCAGAATTTAAAAGATTTGGGGTAGCTCCTTTAAGCTTATTAGAGTTAAAGAAATGGGTTAAATCTCCATAGTTTAGTCTGTTTATGTTCTCAAATCATGAAACCACAACATCTCAGCCTTGGGCCATCTAACACAGGCCAAGCCAACCTGAAATAGTAGTTATCCATTCTTTGAGCAAGGTCTTCACATCATTGAATTCAACAGCTCCAGCTAGATTGGGTGCTGGAGGTCTAACACAGCCAGCTGGGTCAGGCTGCAAACTAGAAAGGCTTCGCACACCTGAAGTAGAAGCAGAGCGTTCTTCCTGTTAAGAAAACAAAGGATAAAATTGCTATATTCACACATTATCCAGGTACATTAAGATCTCATAAAGGTCCACATTAAAGAATTACCAGAGGTTTCTCTGAAGGAGGTCCTTCATGTTTTAGAAATCCATCAATTAACTTCTGGGGACTCCCACAGGCCCCTGGCAGAGTTTTTGCAGGACTACTAAGCAGCTTGTTTTTCAAAGGACTCTGAATCCTTTTTGGGGAACCGATGGGTTTTTTTTTCTTATTTCGTTTCTTTTCTTTCACCACTGCTGGCTTTAGCTGAAGTAAAGGGTTCTTCGGCACTAAAAGAAGATGGATATAAGATCCTCCACAAAATGATAATATGAGTACAGACAGTCTGCATTGGGTTCTCTTTCCTCCTCCAAAATGTAACAGTCTCCCTAGCCCACCCCGCCCCTCCTGCCAGGAGTGAGAGGCAGTGGATGGCCATGGCTGAAAGTGCAGGCTCTCCAATTCTCTCTTCGCTTTGCCACTTACTAATTTGACCTTTGGCATGTTGCTCATCTATGATAAGCAGTAATAAATGTGGGTTTGGTGTTTGTGATGCTTATCCAGAAACTTTCAGATTTTGTTTTGAACCTACATTCTTTGATGTATTCATCTCAAAGGACAACTAGCTCAACAAGTAATTCAAAACACTTCTGGCAATGTCCTATTCCAACTTTTTAAAAAGTAAAAAGTGTATTTAAATCATGAAAATACAGACACAAACCCAATTAGAAATATGGTATTTACTCATATTGTATACTTCAGATATCCCAATACAAAGAGCTCTTAATGCCACTAACAGCTTAGACTCTGGCCATTATACACTGCCAATAATTACACACCAGAGTGACTCCATTACTCTTTATTTTCATTTTTGTTACATGCCACTTCCAAGGCTCACCAGATGTGCTGGCTGACTGCTGGTGAGTGCTGTTCTCGCTCTGCCTTTGTCTTTGATCATATGCTGCTTTCAGCTCCCTTTGAAGTTCAGCAGGAAGGGCAGCAAATACCTCAGGGTCCACCTAGTGGAAAAGACAAGGTCAAACTCGAACCTGAGCTAATTCTAGATGGTAACTGGTTTATGTTTTTCACAAAATAGATTTTGTTTTCAAATAATACTTTTCTGATCTTTACGAATTCTTAACAGGTCCCCAATTATCAAAGCTGGTTAAATCTTCAAAATGGTTAGAGCAAGAATAAGGAATTAAGAATACTAACTTAAGAAAACCCACAACAACAGCAAAACCACCAGGGTAAAATGCACTAGTAGAAAATGGGAAGCAAAACATTAAAACAGAAACTCAGGCTGTTACTGTCCCCCGTGTAGGATTATACATCTCCACTGTGTTGTATGCAAGTGTGGCCACTGATATGTTTGGGCCAGATCCATGTGTTTCTGTCTTACCATGCCTTCCCCCATGTCTTCCCTCTGCTGCTTCAGCAGGAAGCTGCAGATGCAGGAGATGGAGACAAGCCCACCCTCCCCTCCTCTCCCCAGCAGAAGAGGTGTAAGATACAGAGGAGAAAGGCAAGTGACACAGGGCCTGAACTGGAGCAGCGGGTAAGAATACTGAAACTACAGCAGAGGATCCCCCTATTTAACTTACCTGTGAAAATGCTGGAAGGGCTATTACATTTATTCCTGTGTCACTGTTCGATTCTTGAGGTTCTGGTATTTGCAACAAGACTGTCCCAACCGGTTGTGGCAAAATTCCTGAATTACAGCCATTTACTGGTTGTTTCTTTTTGTCGCCACGTGATTCTGCTTGCTGAAAAGCACAGACTTGCTCTACTTGTTCCCGGAGATCAGGTGGAAGTGCTTCTAAAACAGACTGATCCAGCTATAAAATGCCGAACAGAGTCTGAAGTTAAAGCACGCTCAGAGACGAGGTGTTGGGGAGTTGACATGCCACTTTAAATTTCAATTTGAACACTGTGGATAACTAGTGTAAGGTACAGACCATCAAGCTACGAAAGGCACCCCCAAATAAGCACATTTTTGGAATGTCTTGGCCTTTTGTCACTGAAGCCTGAAGTAATACGCATAGTCTGGAGAGAAGTGTATACACTACCGGCCACTACCACGTGACCAGGTAAGGCCAAATATACTCAGGGAATGTCCTGCAGATGGAGCCAACAGAAATGAATAGCCTTGATGAAGCTCAAACCAAATTCCACCCTGAGGAGGGGGGAAGGCCTGAGGCACATGTTAAAAGTCTGGACAGGTAACAATCCTGGGTCAAAGGTTCACTTTTCAGATGAGAGACCCCCCGCCCAAAATACAAATAATTGTACTCTGAGAATGGCACGCTAGAAGAAAGGGTTCTAGAAGCTGACTTTTCTCAACTTGCAGTACAGAATCCACTATCCGTTGGCCAGGACCTCCCTCCACCTGTCCATGCACGTTTGGCCCTTTGGAAACATGCAATCCCATCAGCTGGGTAGGCCAATCTTATCTTGCCAGGAACAACTGCGGGTATCTGTCACCAGCAGCTGGGAACCAATACAACATGCATATCAGAATTGCCCCATCCCCTAGTTTTACAGCAAGTATTTAACATCTCCTTCGACCTCCTTCCATGGAAGGGGAGCAGGGGCACAAATAAACTTCCCAATATGGCTTAAGGTGCTACCACGCCAGCAGTACAGCCATGCCAGCAGTACACATGTACAGCCCATACAAGCTGAATTAAATACCATCCCAGAAACCTGTTTGCAAATACTGCAAAAAAAAAAAGCTTTGAAGTAAGGCCTCTACTTCCCCACTAATCACTAAAGCTGCCTTGCTGAATACAGTAAGTCTACACAATGACCACTGTCACAGACAATGGCAGTTCCCAGGAGGCCTGCCTTTCAACCATGCTTTATACCTTGCAAGAGCTGCAAATCTTTGCAAAAGCACTTTCACTCAACCCAATTATTGCTTACTTAGAATCAACATCATAACTTACCCTAACAAGTGGCCCTTTCTCCCTTTCTTAGGATGAAGAAATAAAAATACCATTTTCATTTGTAAACGACTTTTGTACTTATATTTAGGACCATAAAAGTGTACCTGGGAAGGTGACGGGACCTCTATACTAAGGTTAAGTCTTGACTGCACACTGACAGGAGAATGCAGACCATTCCATTTCCCTGAAGACTCAGTCTTGTTAGTATCAGGACTGATACTGGTTGGCAGATGTGCAGGAAAATGTGGCAAGAAAGTGCAAGTTCTAGAAGCAGATGATATTTCCAGATCCACAGCAGCCAGAAATACTACAAAGAGAAAATACAGAAAATACCCCCTTCAGATCATCGGGCAGGGCCTTTAATCCCTGATTTCCTCTGTCTATTGCAAATAAAATAACTTTATTATTGATTCATCATAATGAAGAATATAAATATTTTTTAAATCACATAAAGCTGTGTCAATTTTAAAACCAACTTCCACCTTTTCCAAGGACATAAGCAGCACTTAAACAAGAACCACACTGATGACCACCAACCTTCTTTGTGCTCCTCTTCTGTGGATTTCATAGCTTTCTGAACTTGGAAGATATCACGGACAGAGTGTGACCCACGAGGAAAGTGGCTTGACTGAATCGATGGGCGACTGGGACATGTGGAAGTGTTCGGATCAGCTGGAACCAACTGATTAACGTGAATCCCAACCTAGAACCCAGAAAAAAGAGTGCTTCTAGGAAAACTAAAGTGAAAATATGAATTCAACAAAGCAAAATCCTCAGCAAATCCTTTTCACTATCTCCTAGATCCTGTTTATAGAATAAAGGTAAATCAAAGTATTCAGTCTTATATATGACTTATTAAAAAACAATTTCTAGATTTTCATCTCAATCTTGAAAGTATCCAGTTCTCCCAAAATACACCAAAAGGTCTTTAAAATCAGAAAATCCAAACAAGTGGAATACAGTATTCCACTGATGTTCTAGTCAACTGAGTTTTTAAATTAGGATTAAAAAAAAAATTGAGGACAGTCTACTTGGAAACCTCACTATTTTTATCTTTTTAAAAGGAAGTACTTCTCAAAAAATATCGATGGGAGTGAAGAACAGTACATACACCACAGATCCCTCCATAAAGTGCCATTGTAACAGTATTTCAGGTAGAAATTTCACTTATGTCTGGCTTAGCGACTCATACTTCCACAAAGCCCACATCAAGCCAAAACAACCCTTACTTACACATGCACACATAAAACTAAAGCTCTAAAGATTTTTTTATTTTGAGATAGCCTCACTGTGTCACCCAGGCTGGAGTGACTCATGCAAGCTCTGCCTCTCAGGTTCAAGTGATTCTTATGCCTCAGCCTCCCGAGTAGCTGGGACTACAGGCATGCACCACCACACCTGGCTAATTTTTGTATTTTCAGTAGGGATGGTGGCCACTTACAGTGACTCGTACCTGTAATCCCAACACTTTGGGAGGCAGCGGCAGGTGGATCACCTGAGGTCAGGAAGCTCGAGACCAGCCTGGCCAACATGGTGAAACCCTGTCCCTACTAAAAATTAAAAAATTAGCTGGGTGTGATGGTGGGCACCTGTAATCTATGGTTTTGACATTTTGATGCCTCTTGCCTGTTTTAAAGGCATCTTGATGTGCCTGTGGTTTCACTTCCTTCTAGGTCTTCATATAGCAGAGTATGTGTCTGATTAAAAAGGACTTAAAGGTACAAAATTTATGTATTCATACTCCTAACAGTTATATTCACTTCTAAAAAACAAGAACGGGGGAACATGTATATTAGCCCCTGGTTAATTAGGGGTAACTTGGAAAGTACAATAAGAATCTAAGAAAATTATTTGAAAATGAAGGAGATCAAATCGGAGAAAGTCAAGAATTTTTGTTTCTTTTTCTTGTATCATAAAGCAGCTAAAGATACATATAAAGTCTCTACATGCCAGCAATAGCCATTCTGAGGGCAAGCCTCAAATGAGAGAAACATTACAGAAAGTCAGAATTTACAATTTTATCAAACACTTACCCCTCTCATATCCGATATATTTAATTTCATTGTATGAAACATGTTTAGCATCGCCTTTCCAATTATTTTTCCATTATCTGTTGCCTGGTCAAGAGTTACAGTCCTGTAAGTGTTAGAATTAAAAAACAAAAGCTTCATTCCATGTATATTCACTAGTACTTCAGTAGTATGGAACTGTTTAAAGAGTTATAGAAAAGTTGTAAACAGTTACAACAAAGGTTCTAAAAGTGAATGCCATAATCTCCCTTCAAAAAAGACAAAAATACTAGTTACATTGGCAACAAAGGGGAAAGAGAAAAATTATGCTGCACTGGAATTTTAAGGTAAAAACGATAATGGACACGTGAGTCAACTGGAAATAAAGTTGAGAAATTTAGAAAAAGATAAATGTTAGTTAACACATACAAAAATAAATAACATTTTTCAACCAAAGCACAAATGAATGGTAAACACAATGTTCTTGATTCCAAGAGAAGTTTTAGGTTCTAAGATTATGTACAAATAATATATGCTGAGGTACAGCAAATATTCTCTGTATTTTGGTTCTTGACTCTCCTTTCACTGTGTTTATAGAGAAAAACCAATATACAATTCTTAGATCTTTAAGAACTCTTGAAGGAGGACCAAATGATTCATCAGCTCTATTAGGTCCCAAAGATGTGCTGACCTCACGCACCATTTCATCAAAGCCTTCTGAGCTTCTCTGGCATGAGCAGAGTGTCTCATGGCAAATAGAATTTCTAACACAGTAATAGATTAATAAATTACTACCAGTTCTCTTTCCAAAGGAAAGTTATTTTATGTTTTGGATGGTCCTTTCCATGTATAATGAACAAATAAAGTTCCAGACCTTTAAACAGGAAATATTCCCAGAAAAAAATATTATAAATTGAAGCTGATTTTCACTTAGAGACTATTTAAAAAGATAATCGTATTACTTAGTCAACTTATAGAAATAACCCCTAAAGGCTGGGCACAGTGGCTCACACCTGTAATCCCAAAACATTGGGAGGCCAAGGCAAAAGGATTGTTCCAAGACCAGCTTGGGCCTCAGAGCGAGATCCTGTTTCTACAAAAATACATTTTTAAAGTAAATAAACACATGACAATACTACTTACTATTTGAGATACATGTGTAACACTTGGGTAGGTAAATATAAAAATTCAAGATAAGCAACTGATAAAAATGTATTTTATACATTATGTTGTTTAATTGTAACTTGTAATTCCTGCTTTCATGGTGAACAAACGCATTTACGGTGAACTTGGAGTTTCTCTGTTTAAGAGCAGTCACCTCATAGTCTGGCAGTATCATCATATACACGAATGTACTGTGGACGGTTGGCTTGAGTTAAACGTCAACAAAACTATACTTTATAGTTCCTTATAAGTAGCTTTCACAGTGTACAAAAGTCTCAAATTTTGGTTTAACAGATAAAACACGGTTTTGGTTTGACAGGTAAAATGACATGTAAAACCAAGGATCTTCATAGTGGTCACAAATCTTACATGAAGTTTAATATTAAGCGGCTGGCCTTGACATAAAAAATCAAAATGTCAGAGGCCACTGTGGCTCATGCCTGTAATTCCAACACTGTGGGAGGCTGAGGTGGATGGATCATTTGAAGTCAGGAGTTCAAGACCAGCCTTACCAACATAGTGAAACCCCATCTCTACTGAAAATACAAAAAAAATTATCTGGGTATGCCGGCATACACCTGTAGCCCCAGCTACCTGGAAGGCTGAGATAGGAGGATCGCTTGAATCCAGGAGACAGAGGTTTGCAGTGAGCTGAGATCACGCCACTGCCCTCCAGCCTTGGCGACAGAGCCTGACTCCATCTCAAAAAAAAAAAAAAAAAAAAGTAGGGTTTTTAAGTGCTTTTGCCAGTTTTCAGACATTACAGTGATTCATTCATCTTTTCACCAATTAAATCTATACACCTATGTAAATGAAGTTGCTCTCCTTCACCATCATTTTTATAGCTACTATAGTCTGTCTTTGTGTATCATCGTTATTTTGAGACAGAATCTTGCTCTGTCACCCAGGCTGAAGTGAACTGGCGTGATGTCGGCTCACTGCCACCTCTGCCTCCCAGGTTCAATCAATTCTCCTACCTCAGCCTCCCGAGTACCTGGGACTACAGCCAAGCACCACCATGCTCAACTAACTTCTATATTTTTACTGGAGATGGGGTTTCGCCATGTTGTCTAGGCTGATTTTGAGTTGCTGGCTTCAAGTGGTCCACCCGCCTTGGCCTCCCAAAGTGCTGGGATTACAGGCATGAGCCACCATACCCGGCCTGTATCATTGTTTTTAAGAACTACACTGAAATTTCCCTAAGGAATAAAGTTTCACCAAGTCCAAAAGCTATAGCAGTCCCTTTGGTCTGCAGCCTTGCCCTTTCTGTCCATGCAGTAAAGTTAACAGCCTGAAGACCCCAAGCAAGGGCTGCCAAGGTCAGGAATGCTGTCAAACCAACCTCCATGGGGGTAGACCTGGCTGAAACCAAGTGCATTAACCTAAGTTGAATGCCTTGGACTGATGCCTGCTTCTCCAGAACGCCAGGTAACATGGGTTTACAGCTCTTTATTCAAACTCCTCCTTGGTTTTCTTCATTTTCTATTACTTATAACAACCTGTACTGAAATATAATTACCAATATCATTTTTGAGATGAGCTTACCTGGCAATGTTATCACAAATTCCATGGCCTCCAAATTTTGCAGTTTCTACAGGAGCCCCAGGCTTTCGTACCATGATTTTGAGAGTTAGACGTTTACCCTTCATGCCAGTGGCTTCTAGTCTTCTTTGAATTTCTTCTGAAAGACTCAGAAGAAAAGCTTCTGCCTCTTTTGGCTATAGAAAGGCAAACAGGAAGAAACTTCCATTCCACTTTCCTATGTACCTAATAATTGTTTGTAAGTCTTTTAACTTTGAGTATTAAACATGTTGGTCACTCACTATCATGCTCAGCATCTATTAAAAAGAAATGTGGGCCGGCCACAGTGGCTCACGCCTGTAATTCCAGCACTTTGGGAGGCCAAGGTGGTCAGGAGATCGAGACCATTCTGACCAACATGGTGAAACCCCATCTCTACAAAAATATAAAAATTACCTGGATGTGGTAGGGAACACCTGTAGTCCCAGCTACTCGGGAGGCTAAGGTAGGAGAATCACTTGAATCCAGGAGGCGGAGGTTGCAGTAAGCCGACACAATGCCACTGTACTCCAGCCTGGTGACAGAGTGAAACTCTGTCTCAAAAAAAAAAAGTGACTAGGCATGGTGGCTCAAGCCTGTAATCCCAGCACTTTGAGAGGCCGAGGAGGACGAATTGCCTGAGATCTGGAGTTTGAGACCAGCTTGGCCAATATGATGAAACCCTGTCTCTATTAAAACTGCAAAAACTAGCTGGGCATAGAGGCAGGCACCTGTAATCCCAGCTACTAGGGAGGTAGAAGAATTGCTGGAACCCAGCAGACAGAGGTTGCAGTGAGCTGAGATTGCGCCACTGCACTCCAGACTGGGCGACAGAGGGAGACTCCATCATTTAAAAAAAAAAAAGGAAAAGAAGAGGAAGAAGAAAACGTTTGGAATACCCTCAACTATTAAATAAAAATACCCACCTTCTTAACAAAGTAAAAGTAATGAGTACTTTAAAAGATATTTTTCCTTTCTTTCTTTTCTATGCCATCAATGACTTATTGAAATTATTTTGTAATTATGGTAATAAGCTATGCTAATAAAATATGTGTTCCAACACTGTGCTTATAGCCCAACCATTCTCTATCTCCATGCCCAAGGAAACAAACTCCTGAGGTCCACAGTGTAGGAACGAGAGTATAATTAACTCATCACATTTCAAATCCTTATGATATGGTGTCATTTGTACATACAAATTCAAGACACTTCCAAATCCATAATCTGAAGGAAAATGGAAACGACTCAGCCATCTGTGCTGCAGCTTTCCAAAAGCATGCAAAAGGAGGGGTTCACTGAAACTTAATTTTAACTACAGCTTAAAAAGCATTTCAACATTAAAAATATTTTTCTCATTTTTTTTTTCACTGTAAATGAGAATAATTATAATCTCAAGTTCTCTAAGAACTGGCCCCTAAAGCATAATCTTTTAGTATATTTCCCCAAAAGCTAGGTTTCCTCAGTCTCAATCCTATCTTAGGCTATATCTTACCACACACTGCCTTAAAACACCTTCTGAGGCTCTGGGAATACACAGTTTTAAGACTTAATTTCAAGCATCAAGAGTCTTATGGTTTCATTAGAGAGGTAGGACTGTGTAAAAATATAAAGAACAACAGATGGTAAAATCTGTTCAATGATCAGTACCTGAGTAAATCTGATTCCATAGTTGATCTCAGCTGAAACAGATTTTCTCTCCTTCTCAGTTCGAACTGGTCTATCATCCAAGCCACGGCAGAATCTATAAAGCATCTGACCTGTTTTGGGACCAAATTCTTTCTGGAGTTTTGCCATGGTCATATACTGCAAGTCTCCACACGTTTTAATTCCCAAAGATGCCAACTTAGATTCCATTGAACGTCCAACTCCTAGGAAAGGGAATATATATAGTTCTTTAAGTATGCAGAATAAGCTACTAATAACAACGGTATTAATACAAAATACCCACCAATTACGCACAAAACAACTAATTTAAAATAATTTCTAAAGTCTTTAGGTGACATAACGAAAGCATCCATAGACTGAAGAATTTTTTTGGTGCAAAATCATGCTAATAGGAGTATTTCTAGAATCTACTCCTCAATTTAGACTCCACATATAGATGAACCAGAGACTTTTAAAATATGTGTAACTCAAGTTATCAAAAATGTCACTTTCCTTATTAGTGAATAATATCAAAATATCTATCTTATTTACAAAATCAACTAAGAAATCAACCATCATTTAAACAAGTCTAGAGTGTGACTTACAGATACACTAGCTGACTCACAGAATGTAAGGGACTCTATCATGATTTCGGTCATCATCAAATTTCACAATGGTTTCAGCTGCATTTTTTCAGTGAAAAACAGAACAAGAATTCAAAAAATGGGCCCAAATCCAACAATATTACATGCTATCATACTGAACAAAAGTAGTACCACTGACCTGAGGATGAAGGATCCTAAGCAAACCAACTGGTGGTTCTCTCTGAGGAGATATTAACCCTCCTACAGCTGGGCCAGCAGGTAGCAGTCCCTGTGTCCTATTCTGCAAGACGTAAGGTTTGAGCCCCACCAGAAGGATACTGATAAACTCTGTTGCTTTAAGTTGGAGTCTTGGTTTTCTTTAATTTGCCCTAAATGCTTTAAAAAGGTATACAAATCTGGGAAAGAGGTTTGGAGTAACCTAAGGAAACTATAATGCTTATTATTAAAATGGTTCCACATCATCAAGTAAAAATTTTGCATCAATGAGGAAAAGACAGTGTTGTGTTTCTGTTCTTCTGTAAGAAATTGTCAAAAGAGAACTCAGGCTGGGTGCAGTGGTCACACCTGCAATCCCAATACTCTGGGAGGCCAAGGCAGGATGACTGCTGGAGGCCAGCAGTCTGAGTTTGAAGACAGCCTGGGAAACTAAGGGAGACCCTGTCCTGTAAAAAAGAAAAAAGAATTAGCCGGGTGTGGTGGTACACTCCTGTAGTCCCAGCTACATGGCCGGCTGAGTCAGAAGGATCCCTTGAGCCCAAGAGTTCGAGGCTGCAGTGAGCTATGAACCTGCCATTTCATTCCAGCCTGGGTGACAGAGCAAGACCCTGTCTTTAAAAAAGAGAACTCAGAGTGAAGTCTGCTAACTTCTGTTCATTGTTATTGTTATTTCTAACTCCTATCCGTCTTAGTGGTCTTCAGTAGCAGAACAACTATCTAGTCCAAGTTCTGCCAGGAAAATCTCTGGAACCAGTATATAACACAAGGTTACGAAGTCGTCAATGTGTGTCACACAAGTTTAAACCCAGATACTTTATTCCTTAATGGAAGTGAGATGAAAAGGTGTTAAGGGTGCTGGTTCACATTTGCGCCATTTTTAAATCCAAGCCAGAACAAAGGCCAAGTAAATACCAAAGACCCTGAGTTAACAAACAAACAAAATCTTCCAGAGAAGTACCATTCACCAAAACGTAACATTTTAAGTGAAACCTAAGTGTTTTCCAAAATGGGGAGGAGAAACACAAGGGAACCGACAAATCACGTACTTGGTTGGTCAAAGGTAGACAGACACTTTGCACAGCTATTTGCTTTTAGGAAAGGCTTTCTGCCTCCCTTTTTGTATATCTGTTTTGTCATAAGACTTCTTAGCATCAGGAAGACTTTCTGTCTCTCTTTTTTCTTTCCCATTATTGCCTCAATTCCCACTCCCATAATCTGACCATGATCTTTCCCTTACAGTTCTGGGGAGCCAATCTGTTCTCAGGAACTTGCAAGATTAGCAAGAGACAATCATCGTTATGGACTGTGTTCGTGTGTGCAGGTGTTGGGGTGGATGGACGTGGGGAGAAACTCATAGTTTTTTGGAGTATCTTTAGTATAATAGAACAAAATTATTATGCAGTACAGGTGTAAAGGAAAGGCTATATTAAACATTGCCAAGTTAAACATAATCAATCTAATCTAAGTGGAATGTCCCTCTAGGAAAGAATCACAGCTCTTCTCTATGCAAGCTCATCTGATGGAATGAAATGACCTGAACTGGAGGTGGGGGAGGGAGGCAGGGGGTGTGGTCTACCTCCAACTCCTATTACTTTTGAGTTGGGGTGTGAAAATTAAGCTTGGAGATAGGACCAAAATCTTGAAGAGGGCTGCCAGTTTTAACTAAATGCCTCAATTAAGCAGGTATTTCTCAGGTAAAGATGGAAACTCTATGGAAAAAGTAAAGAGGGCTCCAGGTCCAAACAGTACAGCCACCTATTAAAAGAAAAGTGAAGAAAAATATGCTCCTTTAGAACTAAACCTCAAAGAAGAGAAGAGAGAGTTAAAGATGCTGCTGGTCAAGCAACTGCAACAAAGATTTGGCATCTGTCCCCGAAGGGGAACTATTACCCTAGGTTAAAAGTGGCCAATAATGTCCCCTCCTTGGCATCCAGAACTTGGCTATCCAATACAGACACAGAGGAGTAAACTTCAAAGAATAAAGTTTTCACCATCTACAGGAGCGCTGTTCAACTGAACTTTCTGCTCTGAGCTCCTGAAATGTAGTCAGGGTAAGTGAGCAATTGAACTGGTAGTTTTATTTAACTTTAAATTGTACTAGCTTCACTTGGCTACATGGCTCCTATACTAGTGCAGATTACATGAACACCTACGTGCTCATGGTGGTTCTCTGAAAATGGGACAGAGAAGGAATCCATACGCTGGATGCACAAACCCAGCAAAGGCTGAATGAGGTGCAGAGGGCCCTTCACTGAAGAGCACATGCATGGGTGAAAAGCCCTGCAAAGATCCAAAGAAAAAGGAGAAATCGCTCTTTATACTGTAACAGTTGTTGGGATCAACGCTTTCTTTCATTAGGTAACCAGATCACATTAGGTAACTTAACTGTTAGTGTAAGACATAGTTATTATTCTGTGGAGTAAAGCAAAAACTTACTATTGTGTTTTCTCTCCCTAGGTAGCTATTCTAATTATTACTGTGCGCAGCACATATGTGGTCAATAAACATTTATGGGTACAAGGGGCTAAAGAGGTTGGAGATGGGGCAAGTTACCACCAAAATTCTCCTGGTTATGGGTTAGAGAAGCAAGTTTCCCCAAAGTATGTTCCACAAGATATAAGTAGGTACTGTATGTTTATCACCAAATATCTTTGAGAAATTACTAGTCTTTAACAAAGATAAACAGCTTTCTTTACTAAAATAATTCTCAGGATGTTCACTGTATAAAGCCCCCCACCACAGATGGTTCCCTCTCGTATATAAAATCTGTTCCTTTTCAAAGGAACAGATTATAATCTGTGCACACTTCAGGATGGGAATAACAATGGAGAAAGTAGATATTTTACATACCTGAAATGCTCTATAACAGATTAAGAATTTGGGGATTTTATAAAAACCACATGAACTACTGTGAGTGATACAGAATCTGGCTCTGAAGAAGAGAAAGCCAACTCTGCTGCCCTATCTTTTAAATATCACTTAGGAAATTCAAGGCTGTGCCTCAGCTTGGCCAGGATATGTAACTTCACACTTGCCCTTCAAGAAATAAAGTCTTTCCAGCCAGGAAGCAAATGAATGTGAATGGTAGGATTACTAGGTCAAGGAGCTAAAACTTCTCTATTTCTATTACACACAGACATGTGCGTGTGCACACACAACACACACACACAGAAAACTACAAAAAAATTTCAATTCAAAGATGGTGTTTTGAACTAAACTATGTCTTCCCAAGATTATATGTTGAAGTCCTAACCCAGTACTACACAGTGTGACGACTATATTTGGTTGGTGTTTTTCTTCAGTTGGTTTTTTCTTTTTCCCAGCACAGTCTCACTCTCACTATGTTGCCCAGGCTGGAGTGCAATGGTGCGATCTTGACTCGCTGCAACCTCTGCCTCTAGGGCAGTGATTCCTGTGCTTCAAGCATGTGCCACCACCCCGGCTAATTTTTTTGTATTTTTAGTAGACACAGGGTTTCATCATGTTGGCCAACCTGGTATTGAACTCCTGGCCTCAAGTGATCCACCTGACTTGGCCTCTCAAATTGCTAGGATTACAGGCATGAGCCATCGTGCCTGGCCACGGTGTGACTGTATTTGGAAACAAAATCTTTTAAAGATGTAAATAAGATAAAACGAGGTCATATGGATGACCCTAATCCAGTATGACTGGTATCCTTAAAAGAAGACATCAGGACAGAGACATGCATATGGGGAAGGCCATGTGAAGACACAGGGAGAAAAGGGTCACCTACAAGCTAAGGAGAGGCCTCAGAAGGAACCGACCCTGCTGACACCTTGGTCTTGAACTTCCAGCCTCCAGAACTGTGAGAACACATTTCTGTTGTTTATGCCCCCCAGTCTGTGGTACTTTGATATGGCACTCCTAGAAAACTAATAGAGATGGCTAGCATAATAAACTTAAAACTCAGATTTTACATGCAGCTTTAAATATACCAGTTCCTTCTTACATAAAACTGCAGTAAGATTTCTTATAAAACTGTTTTGGCCAGGCGCAGTGGCTCACGCCTGTAATCCCAGAACTTTGTGAGGCCGAGGTGGGTGGATCACGAGATCAAGAGATCGAGACCATCCTGGTCAACATGGTGAAACCCCGTCTCTATTAAAAATACAAAAAATTAGCTGGGCATGGTGGTGCGCGCCTGTAATCCCAGCTACTCAGGAGGCTGAGGCAGGAGAATTGCCTGAACTCAGGAGGCGGAGGTTGTGGTGAGCCGAGATCACACCATTGCACTCCAGCCCGGGTAACAATAGCGAAACTCCGTCTCAAAAAAAAAAGTGTTTCAATTGTGTTGTCTACTAAGGTAATTTGCTAGTTTGATTTTATAAGGTTAAGTATTCTCAAATTAAACGTGAAACTAACCATCAAAATGCCATATTACACATTTCTGACACCAATACATTGTTTTAAGTTATATACTAAGGGGGTCAGGAACCTTTAAAACTAACCTACCAGGCCAGGCTCGGTGGCTCACACCTATAATCCCAGCACTTTGGGAGGCTGAGGTGGTGGGGGGGGGGGGGGGGCGGGGGGGGGCGGGTCACGAGGTCAGGAGATCAAGATCATCCTGGCCAACATGGCGAAACCCCATCTCTACTAAAATACAAAAAAAAGTAACCAGGCTTGGTGGCATGCACCTGTAGCCCCAACTACTCAGGAGATTGAGGCAGGGGAAATCACTTGGGAGATGGAGGTTGCAGTGAGCCAAGATCACAACACTGCATTCCAGCCTGGTGACAGGGTGAGACTCCATCTCAATAAAATAAGTAAACAAATAAAACTAACATACCATAAAATGGCATTTCTGACATTTAATATTTATGGCCTGTAACAGAAACTTCCAAGTTAGTTCAGAATACTTTTACTAGGCTTCAAAACAGGCATTTAAAAATGCCATTCGATCTATTTTTAACAAACAAATGAATTTTAAAACTTTCAGTATAAATGAACATGAAGGCTTTGCAAAGCTGACACAAGCACTTTATAATAAATAGGTAACTACACAAAAGTATGAAATCACTGAACAGCCTGCCCCTTGGGTGAGAAAGGTAAAGATGGAAGGCTTTCTTCAATAAGTGGAATTAATTGAAAACCTAATACAGCTCACATACATTCTATTTATACTTTTAAAACTACTTGTTTAATAAACTCAGAAAACTATCTCTAGTCCTGCAGCATGAAATAAGAGACTCGATGCTCAAAACATATCTTTGGCTCAGGAGTAAACTATTTTAATGATCATTTATTTAAAGCACCGAAAGTCAATTTCATCATCTTCCCTTTAAATGTTTAGAATCTTGCTACTTGAGAAATACCTAAAGTAAAAGCCATTAGAGGCAAAACAAAAACTTAACATTAAGGTCCTGAGAAATCATTTGAGGGGATATTCAATGCAGAATTCCAAATTATGTTTTTCATGGCACTCAATAGGACTTAAAACATTTTTATAATATTCATGTCTTGGAAAAAAGTCTCATAATTCTATAATATAGATGTTAAAAAGTATTTACAAATACCTGTAATAAAACTATAGTGAAAATATTTGTATTTACCTGGTAGATTAGTAACTAGCTGACCTCTGATAAAATCATCTACTTCTTCTGGTTTTAGGTGGTACTGCCCATCTGGTTTTGCTTTTCTAGTTGCCATTCTAGCCAGGAGAATATTAGAACCTATTAAAAAAAAAAAAGTCATCCAAGAAATATTCACAATTATTTTTAAAATTTCCCAACAAAAATATCTTCCTTCATACAGGTTACTATCAACTTTCTAAAAATAAGGTGTAAAATTGGTAGAATTTTGCTAAGTATTTCAGATTATAACCAACAGGGTGCCTGGATAGAGGTTTCTCTTTGCTTTAACCTAAGTGCCATTTCAGCACCTACCCGGATATAGGAATAGAGAAAGCATCCTGATCTCAAGAGTGGGAGTTCATAAGGACTGAAGGCAATGATGAAAGAGCAGTTCATGTTCCCAACCATGGGACCCACAACAGGTAAGGAAGTGAGAATAAAAGAGTGCTACTGGACTGGGAAACCAGAAAGCCCAAAGAACCAGTGGGAACTGAGGGCGGAAGAGTCTTCAAAACACAGAGACAGGCAGTAAGGTTCAAGGTGTGGGTGTGGGCAGCGGCCACAGAAGTGGCAAAGGAAAAGGCCGCCAAGCCCTGAGAAGGGGCAGGGATCTGCAGAGTTCAGCTGCTAGATGGGCTTCTCTGTGAATACTAAAATCTCCAAAGAAAAGACTTATATTGAGGATATATCTTGGTTTTACTGAAGACTTGTATAAAAACTATACACTTTCCTAAGGTTAATGCAGAGATTCATGAAGAGGGAAAGTTCTGGTAAGTCATACCAAAATGATAAAAGTAGTGAGTTCAGTGGAAGGGAAAGGAACTGAGGAGTAGAAATATAAAGTGGGACTTTGTCATTACATATGCTTGAACTTAAAAGAATGGATTCATGTGATCATTTATAAATGAAAATTAAGTATAATTAAAAACAAATTCCTAACTGAAATATTACTAAGATCTATGGGCCAACATCAGGGGGTAAAAAGTAGGCTAGCCAGTAACTAGGAATGCTGGGAATGTATTAATCATACTTTTTATTTTGTGTATCTTGTATTGTTTTTGACATCTTAAAAATCCTGCTGGCTGGGGAGAGATTGCCCTCCAGGGCTGGCTAATTCCTAAAAACAGTAAACCACTTACTTGGAAGCACACTTCTCTTATGCAACCTAATCACCCCCTGCCCTAAACTGTCCCAGGACCAGCTACCAGGCAACTAGCAACCACCCCTGTAGCCCAGAGTCTGCCAGAATTACTTAAACTAGCCATTCACAAACTGTTTCCTCTGTCCTGCCTTGTCTTTTTGAAAAAAACCCTAATAAAGGCTCTGGGGCCCAGGCTTTCCGTCCGCCATTCCTTCTGCTTCTGTCTCCTAACCACCCTGGTGCTTCTCCAGTAGCCCTGTGTAGCACAGTGTGACCCCTCCTCTCAGGAAACGGAAGTAACAAATTCTTCTTTCAATGGCATTAGCCTCTCTATATCACCACTCAGTAACCAGTAAATTTCATGGGTACAAAGGAGACAGAGAACTTTGGAGAAAGAAGAGTTTTTGAATGAAGATGGAGGAATAATGGTTGAAAGTGACAACGGCAAGCTAAGACTAAGTTAACTTTACCTTCCAAGCCTGTGGCATACTGAGTATGGCAGGGACAAACTGGCTCTACTAACAGAATGGCAAGAAAAGGGGTATCTTGCCAGAAGGTAGTAAGTGGGTTAAGAAAGGAAGAGGTGAAGCTTAAGTATGACAGAGAGAGTTCCAGAGGACATGGCTGAAAGAATCAACAAAAGCAGGGTGAAGTGCTGGGAGCAGCTGCAGAGACAAAGTACAAGGCTTAAAGACAGCATGGATGGAGGTGGAGGAGAAACTGGACAGTTACTGAGAGCACTGGTAGTCAGGGTGACTTCTAGAACTGAGTGAAGACAGGAATAGCTCCATATTCCAGGACGCTGAAGTGCAGAGTAACAAGACTGAGACTTAATACGCAACTCTAAACCCATACCACCACTTAGCTTTAAAAAGCTTCCATTCACTTTTGGGGAAAAAAATTTGTTTACAAATGCTGAATTAAACCTTCCCAATTTCTAAAGAACAAATAAGAAATGTTACAACTTATTTAGTGCAAAGATTAACAACCATTCACTTGTATTTCCAACACTTATCTTGTATATCACACAACTGCAAGCAATGCTAAAAACTTTTACAAGTGAGAGGAAGCTAATAAAAACAAGAACTCCCTAAAATTAACTGACATTCAAGAATCTCAAAGCAACTCTTTTGAGTACAAGATAAGCTAGATACTAACCAATTCCAACAGAGGCAGCACATTTCGTCTGGTCTTTGATTTCCATACGAACGGCATTTGCAAATTCATCAGGAGTAAGTTTGGTCTCTGCAAGGATTTCGGTAATGTCTACCAGTGCTTCATCACAACTGACAGCTTCAATGTTATGAGTGTAGCTGTCAACACAGAGCAAAGGCAACAAATCACAGCCACAGCCACCACCTGGTAGACCCAATGTTGCAAAATAAAGTCTTCTTATCCTATGTTTTTTCTACTTCCTCACAAGGCATTTTAAATCAATTGGCTGAAGTGCCATTTTAGTCACCCAACTTTTAACTGCAAAAATAATGTGTTCTCTTTCTCCATATTAACTACCAAAATACAGCAAATTGGATAGGAAAATGTATAAGGAGTAAAATAACAAAAAAAAAATTTTTAACACCAAAATGCAGCATACATTATTATTCCAGTTTCTCTATACTGAGAACATTTCTATAAACCTTTGAAGAGTTGAAAACTGGTGGGTAAATCTGAACTGTCAAAACATTTATTCTAATAGTTTATGAGAATCCTTTAAGGAACAGAAAAATTAGATGAATCAGTCAAATAAGTAATTGCTGCTCTTCTAAAACAAAAACATCGCAGTTAAATTCCATTCACTGTACCAAGCCTAGAATACAGAAAGATAAAGTGGCCAGTCATCCCAACTGCCCGTCTGAGAATAACATCTACACTCCGTGCATGTAGAGATACTTTTTACAAAATCATCTCACAGGATCTATCCACAGAAAGGATTTGTTTTAATTAGAGAAAAGAAAAAGGAAGACAAGAATTGCTATATGGCCCCCATGGTAATTAAATATAAGGACTAACAAAGCACAAAATAGAACTGGACCAGAAATGGGAGGAAATCTAAGAGGCCTCAGGATCAAAACTATGTCTTTCATAATCCACTTGGAAATGTATACTAGGAGAGCGGTCCTTATCTCTCACCTACACCTTACCGTAGGTAGGTTACAATCAGATTAGTATCTCTCTTGAGAAATAATCTCTCTGTATTCAAGAAATAAGCATGTTTTGTTTGGGCTTCAAGCGTGACATTTTTAAGAACAGACGGGTATACCTGGCATGAGGTATTTTGCTTCAGAGTCAAAGTTGCCCTGAGGCAGGGAGAATAAGAAGCTGAGACGAGATTTCCCAAGGGTGGTAGAAGAACAACACTGTGGATATTTTTCCCCTAAGAATGGAAACATGCCACTGAAACTGTGTCCAGCCTTCTACTGGGACCATGTACATGTGACTGTGTAGGAGTATGTGTCACAGCTCTCTCTCACATCCTCCTAACCTCAGGCGCTGGCTGATGGTTTGCTCTAGAGCCTCAACGCCCAGGACACAGAAGCACCATAGTACGCACCTCAGTGACCCATCCCTACCTACCCCTCGTTTGGATGCTACCACTGGCTTCACCTTTCAAAGAGGAATTAAAGCACATTCCACTTGGCAATACTAACATTCCTGTATTTGAGATTTATTTATTTAGTTACCCAACTTTTAACTGCAAAGTTAATTAGTATGTTCTCTTTGTGTTAATAGGACAGCTATAACAGTAAGTGGCTTATCATTCAGCATTCAATCCTACATACTCATGCCAGGAAACAATCAATTCTTTTACATTTTCTCTCTCTCCTACTAAAGAGCAAGCTCCCACAGGGAAAGGATTAGATACTCCTTTCTGAGGCTAGCAGCATCTAGCAGTCACCTGTTCAAATTAACACAAAAAGGAAGAGGCAGAAGTGAAGACAGAGGCAAGAAGTCTATCTCTAGGAACATTAATACTGCCCAGGAGTTGACAAACCTAGGCCTAACATGCAGTAAACACATTTTTACTGTAACTGTACCATGCTCTGCTTTCCATTTACAACGCAGAGTTGAGTATTTCTGTTGGGTGACAGAAACTTTATCTGGCTCCCTATTTCTGCTGGGTGACAGAAACTTTAGAATATAAACTAAAAGAATTACACAATAAGCTGGAATATACTTTTAACAAATTTGAGTTCTGGGTCAGTATTAACTATGTACACACTTTTAAATATTTTTAAGTATATCTGCAGTTTTAAAGTTAATCACCTTTGCTCAAGCCAACTCATCAATCATTTTGGAACTATTACTAAAGAACAACTTTTATGAAAACTAACTTTTGGGACATCTAATGATTTTAAGAAGATAAAGTTTTAAAGAGTCTCCACTTGTTATCAACCCATCAGTTCTAATTTTGAACAAAAGTATAATTAAAATGAAATATAAGAGAATAACCAGGTTAAAAAATTCCATCCTTCATCTATCTGGCTCCACGGGAAGGAAACGAGAACCACAGACCAGAAGTAGTATGCGAATAATCAGATCCTCCATCAACGAAGGGAAGCACAAGAACAATTTTAGCAATACAAAACTATCCCTTGAGACTGAACTACCTGGAAATTGCCCAAAGAAAGAAGGCCTCAAAACCTGGGATGCCGAGTAGACGGTTCCTGAAAGATAAAAGTCTAGCAAAAGTGATCCTGACAATCGTAAAGAAAACTTGCACTATCTTTACTATTAGCTACAAGAAGGAAAACACAGACACAAAATGGCAGTTTGATACACTGTACCTTGCCAATGTTTCATACATTGTTCGTGCGACTTCCTTATACGCATGAAAATCATATGGAACAGCTTGAAGATTAGGACATAGTTGTTTGGCATGCCCAAAAAACATTCCGTTCTTAATGCCAACTTGCCTAGAGAGAGAACAAAAACACAACGGAGGTTATTCTAGGAAATTTTAAACTCAAATATTTATCAAATATGTTGCTATCTCCCCATGCCACTAATTTATAACTTCCATTTAACTCCATTCTCATTAGGGGTTAAAGAGAGGCATTAAAATTTACAGGCTTGTTTTTCCCCCCAAAGAAAGTCACAACTGACTGAATAGTGTAAATGACACATGTAAGACATGCCAAATATGTCATTAAAAGACCAGGTTTGGCTCTTGTCTGTATCTGAAGCTTTCTGCTAAAATTCATACCTCTGGCCCCTTTGCAGAGATGCCAGCATGCCATATGCTGGTGATATCACAACCACCACAGAGCAGGAATATGCTGTCAAAAAAAGATTTTCTTCCCCTAATACATGGCACAGTTTGACCAGGGTTCATCCCCCAAAGACAAAGAATATAAACTAAAAGAATTACACAAAACAGTGCTATGTGACAAACAGACAAAATGTACTCATCCTATTACCACCCAATTCCCAATTGACCAATTCCATGCTCCTGAAGTGGCTCCACAGTGGTTGAGATGCCAACAGCATTGTATATGGTAGGACATCACTCTGGGCAGGAGCCAGGGTTCCAGAACTTTGAGGGACCTAATTGAAAATGGTAAATTTTAAATCTGTGTGTCTCAATGCCCCATATTACCTTTGATTTTTGGAGTAATCACCACAAAACTATAACTATGGAATTACACATAATTAGTAAAATTCTGTATTATCATTCTGTAAAGAACCAAGGAAAAACATTATAGTAAAAACAAGCAAAATAAAGCAATTAAATTACATATTATTATATAATATGGTTATTCTACATATCTGTTCAATAAATATTTACTAATTATTCAGCATGGAGACATGCCCTGTTTACATTTACATTTATGAGTCACCAATTACTCATAGGCCTCTGGCACCCTCCCAACATTCAGACCATGAGAGCCAAGAAGGAAGAGTCCTCCAAGTTACTCAGCAGTAGATACAAAATCACATGCATTATGTTTATAAAAATAGAAATATTATAAATGGTCTCAGTGCTAAGCCCCTGGTAGACAAGAAATACTTAAGAGGAAGGAAATGACAGTAAAGGAAGTTATGGCTGTCAGAGCTATAAAGAAAACAATTCTTAGTGTCAGGGACTTAGTGAGGTACTGGGTTATGGGAGAGTAAATAAAGAAAACTCCATGATGTCCATGGGGACGATCCCTACACTCACCTAGAAAAGGATGACCTATGATCAACAGGCTTTGTCCACCAATGCAGAAGTAGATACATAACAGTTCAGACATATATATAGAAACATAAAATCATTTAGAAAAAGTTATCAGAAATTATTAAAGCAGAAAAAAGGTCTACTGTTGAAAAGGGTAAACTTCTTCGGGTAATATAATTATGCCAGATACACAGATTCAGCATGTAAAAGCTAAGTTTACAAATTAAAGATAACAATTAAATTTTTAAAAATGTGTTTATAAGGCTGGTCATGGTGGCTCACACCTGTAACCCCAGCACTTTGGGAGGCTGAGGCGGGCAGATCACCTGAGGTGGGGAGTTCAAGACCAGCCTGACCAACGTGGAGAAACCCCGTCTCTACAAAAAATATAAAATTAGCTGGGTGTGGTGGTGAATGCCTGTAATCCCAGCTACTAGGGAGGCTGAGGCAGAAGAATTGCTTGAAGCTGGGAGGTGGAGGTTGCAATGAGCCAAGATTGTGCCTTGTACTCCAGCCTGGGCAATGAGGGAAACTCCATCTCAACAAAGTGTTCATAATCCCTACAAATAACATGTTCTTATATTTATGATAGTTTCATTTTCAAAACATTGATTTATGAAAAAATTGTCCGAGGCACATTACTTAGTAAAATATGGTACATCTACTTATGTATTCATGTAAAATGTACCCAGAGAAAAAAATGTTTAAAAGCTATTAGACACTATAAGGAAGTCACAAACAAAAAAGGAAAACCTTTTCCCTTTGGTTTGCCTTAGGTTTGCCATACTAAGGGAGCCAAATACCTTGAGTGGGAAATGAGTGGAAAATGGCTGGGAAATGAGGTTTGTTTCTTAGAAAATAAATGATTAAAGACAATTACAAAAATGTCTGAAGTGACTCTTCATTACTATGACTCATCTACTCCAACTAAAATCCCATGCAGGAGAAATTACCATAACTTCGTAAGTACATGCTGCAAAAACAGCTTATTCCCATGTTTAAAGCTCAGAGGACATATTCTATCTGCCAATATGCTTTGTTCAGACAGTTGTATTTGGTGTTAGAGTCTACAATATATAAATATTGCCGGCTGGGTACAGTGACTCACGCCTGTAAACCCAGAACTTTGGGAGGCCAAGGCAGGTGGATCATGAGGTCAGAAGTTCAAGACCAGCCTGGCCAACATGGTGAAACCCCAAATCTATTAAAAATACAAAAACAAGTCAGGCATGGTGGTGGGTGTCTGAAATCCCAGCTACTCAGGAGGCTGAGGCAAGAGGATTGCTTCATCCTGGGAAGCGTAGGTTGCAGTGAGCCAAGACCGTGCCACTGCACTGCAGCCTGGGCGACAGAGCAAGACTCTGTCTCCAAATAAATAAATAATAATAAACTGCCATCAAACCACTGTCACTGTCCACTTTACATCCTAAAAGACAACCAAAAAGTAAGAAAAGTAGTGGGTTCTTACAAAACTATCATGAAAATGGGGTTTAGAAATTATTTGGCTTTAAAAATCTACGATTCTAGAATATCTGTGTATCATTACCTATTCATGTACAATCTACCTTCTCATTTATTACACACAGTTTGCTCTCTACTGTAAGTATAGGCCAAGTACTAACAGCTGTGCACACTGTAACCCACATATACACATTCTACCTTGTATTTCTACCATTTCATATTCACATTCTATCCTTTGCTGGCCCCATTATTAGGCTATGTATAGTGAAAACTCACCAATGTGGAAAACCGAGCAGATCATCCCCACAATCTATTCCTCACTCCAAACTTAGAAGCATTTCTCTCATGCAGTTACTTATACTTGTTAAAAAAAAAAAGTTTTCCTCAGATAAGGAAAATATAACCCTTTGGATGGCAACAAAAACAAGTATCCAGAAACTATTTTCTAGAAACTTTCATTAGGAATAGCCTTCTAGAAAACAGAAAATTACAATTAAGTGACAAAAATTTCATGGCTGTATTTTTTTTTTGTCAAGTTAAATTCATTTTCATCACTTTATGTAACTTCTTAAACATCTGCACTTAAATGGTTCACTATATAGTATTTTGCCCTCATATACTGTCCCCACCCATTTTTTGCAAGGCATTAAGCTTGACAGTCACCAACTGTGGGTAAATACAAATGTACCATCCAAATACCCAAGAGAAGCCTAACGCCTAGACACAATTGTGGCTCCTGGAGTCCAAAGCCACCAGAGATGGTGGCACTTTCACGTGGAGGCAGCCCTGCTCCCCAGCCAGCATTCATCTTAGTGGGGACTGGGAATGAAGGTATAAAGGGAGACCCTGCAGAGGCAGCCTCGCAGGAGTAAACAGAGCTCACATTTTACCAACTAGTGAAACTCAAGGACTGAGAATATTTCTGGGCTTCATCACACCTTCCAGATAGTGCACATAACTGTCTTGCCATCTGAAAACCAGGCCACCATTCAATAACTTAGTAGGGAGAAACAGACTAGCCTACTAAGCACAACATAAACTCAGCTCGAGTGTCTGTGCTAACCAAAAGTGGTATAACTATTCGAAACATTTGTATTTGACTTAATTATCATTTAAAGTAAGTTTCAATTCCTTGGCCACAGCATCAAGTGACAATGTAAATCATTAAAACATAATTCTGTTAACGAGAAAGGCAAAGTTAGCCTAGAAGTAAAAGTGTAGCATTTCATAAATGGGAAACAATTTAAAATATAAGCATGCACATTTGAACTTCATGCTTTTTTACTTAAATATACTTTAAAAAAAACAATTAGCAAATTAAAAAATTATGATTAGATGCTGAGCTCAAATATTTTTTCTTCAGATTAAATGCTTCAATAGCCACAACTCTGAATCAAGACTAAAAAGATGTAACTGATCTAAGAAGACTCTGTTTTTTCATGTAATTATTGAATACCTTAACACTTGCCAGCAATGTGTAAGGGTTTGCTGTGTTCTACAGGTAAAAATGTCTGTGTTCAATTTACAGGAAAAAAAAAAAAAATGAAGACTTCTCTTTTTAATTTTTACTCCCTCTACTTTTACACCTATTCCAATTATTTAAAAATGATTTTTTAAATTATGAGGAACATATATGTATGTTTCTTCCTATACTGAAAGAGCCAATTCTAATTATGGTTTCAGATCACTGTAAGATAAAGACCTATATGCTGGTGCTAACAAGTTAACAACACTCTTGCCAAATTTAAGTGAAGAGATACTAAGTATGCCAATAATGAAATTATTTACTTATAATTTAATAGGCAATTGGGTTTTAACATTTAAAAAAACTGAATATTAGGAAGTGTGGATTACAAGAGATTTTTCTTAGCAACAAAAACAAAAGATTGGAGTAGATAAACATTAAAGTCCTCTCCCATTCAAAAAAATCTAATTATTTTATTTCTTGCTTCAAAAGACAATAAAAATGACAATGCCCAATTTCTTTTGGTTTCCACTACAGAACCTACTGGCTCTCATCAAGGAACTAGTAAGTTGTTTGTTTAAAGTTATCTAGCACTGGTGAGGGGCTGTGGGGGGACATGAATAAAATGATTAAGGCTAAAACCATTTCTTTCCATAAGAGGTCTGTAACATTTAAATCACTGGCCTGACTGGCATGCCTGAATCCACTTCAAAAGATTATAGTTCAAAAGATTATATAAAAGTAATCGACCAAATTATTCATTAAGAATTATCACACACAACTTCTACGTACCTGGCCTCATAACTACAAGATGCAATTTCAGCCTTTGACAAAACAGAATCAATTCCATTTATTTGTCCAGAATCTGGATTCTCCCACACTGATGAATCTGGTATATCTGCTTTAAAAATAAAAAAAAGAAAATTTAATGGTGAAATGTTATAAACTGATTTTCTCTAACTTTTTCAAGAAAGTTGTTTTCCATTACTTTCATATAAAAAGTTTAGGAAATTCCAAATACAGTTATCTCTACTGATATTATCTCCCTATCTAATAGAAGGCAACTCTGTAACTTTAAAATGGTTTGCTTCAATTATAGTCTTCATCAGCAGATTAAAAACTTATAATAAATTCAAAGTGTCCTGTGACTTTAAAAAAAAATACACCAAAAGATATATATAAAATATCCTGTAACACACAGTCCCTTGAGGTGGACATGGATGAGAAGTGATCAGGGAGATGAACCCCCTCTGATAGCCTTACGAGGACTGTACAGCTCTCTGTAATGGGGAAAAGTTAATGAAAAATATAAATTTCTCTGAATATTCTTTGCTGTTTCCTAAAAGAACTGTCTGTAGAACTTAGAGCTAATTAACATGTACAAGAAACATGAAATTCCTACCAGCCATCTGATCAAACAATAATTTAGTAGGTCACAAACCATAAAGAGGTTTCATCATAAATTCAGGCTTTTTCTTTTGAACACACATCACATTATCCCCAGCTTCACACTAGCCCCTGCTACAGGTAATTTTACTTTTGGTTTAATAATGCATGTTCAATTAAAAACATTCAAGTGTGATCAGAATATCAATGCTTTAGAGAACACAACTGTAGCCTAGTGTGGCTCACCAACATCTCTTAATATACAAACCAAATTTACAACTTAATACAAGAATACAAAAGCACACACTGTGGAGAGCCTACTGGGTGCCTGCCACTTTCCTTCCTTTATCACCTTTAGCTTCACGAGTAATTGAGAAATAGACTTAAAACACAACTTCAGTCATAGGTCTCTTGGGATACTACTATTAGGTTCCAAGAAGAGTATGCTGTAAAAAAGAATTTAAAAATCACATTCTAAAACCAGAATCTCAGCCACATCTCTACTATTATAAACAAAAATACCATCAGTAAAACAAAACCAAAATATATCACTTCAGCTATTCCAGACAAATCTATTTTGTGTACACTGTAACAATACATAACTTACAAACCCAGCATTTTTCTTCAGTTTATTTTAGACTTGTTCTGTGAAAAGTCAGCCAAGTTAATGCACCACCAGGAAAACTGGCAAAATCTTGGGTTTCATGGACTTAAAACAATTCTTCCTGGTTTGACCAGTAATCATCAACATCTTTCATCTAACTATGCAACCCATACAAGCATTTCCGGATTTCAGCAACCATGTATCAACAGCATAAATGCAAATCAAACTGATTGGCATCTCAGTGGGGTCAAATCCTACTTGCTTCAAAATAGCAGTGTGTGTATTGTGAGCTATAGTTTCTGACATATGAATAGAGTATGCTAGCTATATGATTACAAACTAAAGACAGAATCCCAAGCAGATTACCCAGTGTTGCTGGAGGGTTTTAAAAGGCTAAATATAAATTTTAATAGTCCAATTCATCTAAGCTGAAAATCTGTTAAGAAATTCAGGACTGTCAGTAACACACTTCAACAGAGGGTACAACTAGACTCCAAAAAAAAGGAGTGCTCAAGTTTGAACAGCCACAACCAACTGCTTTTCAAAGGTGTAACCGTGAGTTATGCCTTACAAGTTGGAGAATTACCAGACTTTGATATCTGAAGGGCTAGTTATCTAAGATACTGTCTTGAAAATAACAGAAAACTTATGCTTGAGGAGAGAACAGTCTCTGTGGTCCATGCGCCCCCAATGCCCTGGCCTGAGAGGTAGCACCATTGTGTTCCTCTCCATTGGGCTGGCTGACCTGTTCCACAGTGCAGCAGAGTGCGTGGGTCCCTCCACGAGCGGAGTGAGTTGCTTCATGTGAGATTCAGGGAAATGCAGGGACACACTGTCCTCACTGGAGGGCAAAGTAGAGAACTGCTCATCAAAACTTGACAAACTAGACGGGCACATGGAGAATGTGGAGGAACGGTTGGAGAAATCAGAGGCCAGGACCCAAGTCTGTGAAAAAGAAATCGCTGAGAATAAATCTATGACTAATACGATTTTTAAAACTGTTGTTCTTTAGAATGAAAACTGAAGTTGTCGAAGGAATAGAAAACATCTGCATCCTGGAAATCCAGGAAAGGGTAAAAGGCCCCAACCATGACATTTGGAGCATAAATTGTTCCAAACAATGAGATCATCAATGAAAAGTGTCACTAATGAGTACTGCTCAGGAAGCAGCCTGCAAAAGAAGTTATGGATGGATGAGATCCGCTGGTTGCATGGTCTAATTAAAGAGCTTTTGGATATGACAACTAAGAAACTAAAGTTTCAAAAAGGACTAAGGATGCTATTTGTCCTAATACTTTGCCTAGACATATAAGCCAAACATTAGAATTGATCTTTTTTTTTTTTCAAAACTAGTGCACAGAAGCCAAAGATTCTAATTCCTAAACGGATCCTCAATATTTTTATATTTAGTGCCATGTTTGATATTAACCCAGAGAAAGAAAGATCAGGGTATAACAAGCAAAGAGAAACAAGGCACTGAAAAAAGTTCTGAGCACAGCTTAGTTGTAATCAAATTTTATAATAAAGGACAATCTATTCATTTTATATGTAGCAAATATTTTGGTAAGCTGCTAATGGGTAAAAAGGCTTAGGATATAAAAGTAAATGACATGAGGTTAAAGTAGTAAGAGTATAAAATACAAACTGTCTTATCACCTTTTCTAGTGACCGGACAATCTCCTTTTGACAATTTTCAATGGTAAGTGAAATGTAAATATTTCCCCTAATATTTACCTTCTGGTTTACCACCCACATTTTGATGTGAAGGGGATGTGATTATAGAAGGTATTAAAATGTTATAAAAATCAGGTGGCTAAATTGATGAAGACATTTAAGTAACCAATGACAGTACTGTGTTAATAAACCATTTACAGTAAGATTGTTTCTAACAGAAGGAAAGACAAAAGAGGACTAGCTCTCTGCTACTCCTAAGGAACGTTTGCTTAAGGTCAACATTTTAAATGCAGACACTGCCGATAAAAGGACGTGTGTAACAAGACTACCCACCAGAGAGACTCTGAGCACTGAAGATGCTACTGCACGTATATACATGGTGGTTTTTCTTCTTTCAACATTCTTTAGTAAATATTTCATAAATGCCTAACATATGACAAGTATTGTGCACTTCCTTAAGCTACTTATTTTTTATCTTATAACTTAAGATTCCATCTGTTTAGTAGCACACAGAAAATACAGAAAGAAAAACCAATCTACCACAAAACCATATTAGCAATACTTAAAAAACCTAGACCATAATACAACTAAATCTCAACAAGTTCAATAACAGCTACTCCAGACCTACTCATGCCACACAAAATTCTAGAATGTCAGAAATCTCTGAAAAGATTGAAAGACCAAGAAAACCTTTATAAAACTTGAAATAAATGTACACACAAAGCATAAATATGTATCTACAATTATGTTTTTTCATACTTAAGACCACATAAACAGATGATCAAAACCAACAAAAAGACTATTATCCCAAAAAAGGTCCTCAGAGATATTCACTTGCTTTCCTTTTGCCTTAATTTCACTGGGGTCATTTGACAAGCCAGCCCAACGTTTTATAACTGACAACAAGGGCACTGAAATAATTGCAATAAAACTAATCTGCATGCCTTCCATTTCACTGTATATCTAACTCCTGACTACTTTCCAGGTAATATTTTTCTGAGAAATTAATTTAAAAAAAATTCTTTTTGGCTTTGCAAAACAACCATGAGAAAACTAATCAGTTATCAAAAAAGATTAATTTCTAAGAAAACATTTCCACTGAGTGAATTTACTCAGTGGAAAAAAATAATAGACACATGAAATCTTAATAAGTATTATGATTAGTACAACTTATGATTTTCCTTATTAATATCCAAAACTAAAAAGTCATGAGAGTCAACAACAAGGTTATATCTCTTAACAAACAGGTTCACTAAAGGCTACGGAGAATGATTACTGGTGTTTACTTTTAATTCCAATAAATTAAAAATTCTACTGTTTGTTATTCTACTTCCTCCTATAAATTTTGAGCAACAGAAACTTGAACATTCTTATTGTGACATAATGACCAAATGACTAGTAATTAGCTCTCAAGTTAGAGGCTTCTTTAAATTATGCCCATGATTTTTATCCCCAATCTAAATTCATACAGAGCAAATTAATCAAACCTTGTAAATCATTCTTCACTCTCTGCTTCAGGAAAACAGCTTCCAATTCAACAAAGCCGAACACTGATATCCTTAAAACCCCTGAATGAAAAAGCTAATTGCTACAACTCTGCTTTCATTTCTATAACAACCATACCAACAGCAAAATCCAGAAGCCGTCCACAGGAGCACTAAGATTTCAAAGAGAGCGCATTTGTACCTGCTTTGCCTTTCAGGATTTTATTCTGGTAATACTGCCACTCCAGCTGGGGGTTAGCACCAGGACGTAAAGGTGCCCTTCCTGTGCCTCTGTTACTTGTAACAGCCACTGGTTTTCCTGTGAGGAAAAGATTAAAATATTTCTGTATCTGGGTACAGGAATGTTAACAAAATGTAAGAGAAAATTTTTCAAAAGATTTTTAAAACATGTCCTTTTCTTTTTCTTTAGCTTTACCTAGACATAAATCCTTAAAGAAGCTAACACTTTAAAGATTATCAATCACCACGTAAATGTCATCTAAGTTTCTTAGCTCCTCCAAAAAAAGCCAATTATTTGTGACTGTTTTGATACATTTATTCAACCTGAAAGCAGCAGTCAACTCGGCCTTCCATGGCTTTCATTTGATTTCTTATTGTAGAAAACAGGCAACTCAAGAGCCTAGATCCAGACTAAAGTGGTGGGGGAAAAAAAACTAAATATATATATTTTTGTATTTCTAGTATCAGAAAAGTAGAGTTAACATCTATACTTATCTCTCAATTGTACAGCAACAGAAACTAAATATATATGCACAGAAATCACAATCTGACCTAACATATCATCAAACATCAGCATACAGCCCCCCTCAGTTTTTGCTTTGGTAACAACTTACTTTCCTGTATCATTTCCTTTTGTATGTGTGTTAAGTTATAAGATTACTATAATTTTATAAAGCAATAGCATGGATGACAAATATGTATTTACTAAATGCATTGTTTTGAGGACCAAGAAATGAAATAAAATCAACAATGCATTAAAAAGTTACTCTGGCCGGGCACGGTAGCTCACACCTGTAATCCCAGCACTTTGTGAGGCTGAGGCTGGGGGATCACCTGAGGTCAGGAGTTCGAGACTAGCCTGGCCAACATGGTGAAACCCCGTCTCTATTAAATATATAAAAATTCGCTGGGCATGGTGGTGCACGCCTATAATCCCAACTACTCAGGAGACTGAGGCAGGAGAATCACTTGAACCTGGGAGGCAGAGGTTGCAGTGAGCCGAGATCATGCCACTGTACTCCAGCCTGGGCAACAACAGTGAACCTCTGTCTCAGAAAAAAAGTTACTCTATGAAAATCAATTATTTAACATTCTAAAAACTCCTTTCAGAGCTTAAGCAGCAAACTACCCATGACAAAAAGAAACTCCTGGTTTTAACACAGCCATTTCTGTGCCATAGTGATTCCTTATTTAAGGAAAGAATTGATTACCAGAAGAAAACATTAAGTTATGTCTTTCAGACAGAGGTAAGCACTGGAAAACCCAGAATGTATGCTTTTTAAAGTACTGACTAGTTCACAAATATCTGCAATTTCACTATGACAAAGACTAGCCAGATGACTTTAACATATTTTAGCAATACTCAATAATGCTACATTATCCTACAATCAAGAAGTTGGGATGTTCACAGGTATCAGGACAGTTAATCAAGATATTTGCTCAAGAAAAAGCATAGTTACCCAAGTCTCAAAGACAAGAGAAACCATAAAATTTCCATTCATTAAGAAAGAGTACAGATAAAAATTTAGAAAATGCCCAATATGGAACCTGTCTCTATTAGTCTTCGATGACGTATCCTTATGTTGAAGATGAATATTCTTCCCTGAAGATCTCTATAGGGAGAAAGAAAAACTCTAATTTCCCTACACCTTCCTTGACAATGGAATACAGAAAATTTGGAAGAACTGATTTTCCCAAGGAAAATCGGAATTTTTTTAAAAAGATTTTGTAATCCCTTTTAATATATATTTATAACAATGTATCAATTTTCTTAAAACATAAGAATACAGACCTTTGAGATCTGGTCTGTTTCGTATACCCACTGATACAAAGAAGCAATCCATATCAACATGCATTATACAGCTCTGATGTCTGGGAGAATTCAGTACTGACATGTCTCCTAGAAGGAAAAAGAGAGCATTCAAACCCCAAACTAATTTTTATTATTTAAAACATCAGGTCTAGTTAATTTTAGAAATTACATTTAAAACATGCTTACACCCAAAATGGAGGCTTTTAAAAAAAACCAGAATCGACTACGGATTATTTCTATTATCTCAAGAGAAGCCAAATTTAATTAAGTCCCTAATTATTTGTCAAAAAGTACATCTTAAAATTATTTCATTGTGATTATTTTATAAAAATACAAAGGCGTTGGCATACATTTAGTTACATGAAGCTAAGTAAAACCCTTTTTGATTATCACTATGCCATGCAATCTACAAACACACCTGGATAAAATAACAATAAAAATGGCTACTATTATCCAGTGCTTGGCAGGTGCCAGGCACTGCCGTAAGTGTTTTACATGTATGTGTTTATTTAAATTCTCAGAACTATGAAGTAGGTAATCTTATCTCCATTTTGTAGATTAAAAGTTAAATTAAGTCACACAGCCTATTGCTTGAACAGTCATTCTGTCCCAAGCAGTCTGATTTCAGAGCCTCTCAACTACCACATTGCTGTTCTAAGTACTTGAAAAACAATCTATAATATAAACATAAATCTGTTTGCAAATGAAATTTTTTACCCTTATGTCATTAAATACTATTAAAGATCAGATCTGGCGACATATACCACATTTAAGGACATAAAGATGAGTGTCCTCACCTAAGGACAAAAGTTTCTAATCATCCTGAGCTATAAAGGGTCATTTTAACTTTTGTAATTACATTTGTAATTCAGGCACAAATAGAGCTTTCCTCTATTATCAGTCTCATCCTTAGCCTTGTCCTCTGGTCCTCTAAAGATACACAGTCCTAGAAATAAGAACCCTCAGCCTGTAAAAAGTTCTGATCTCATAAAAGGGTCTTCCTTTTCTCCTTAAGAGGGAAAAAGAGTTTTCCTCAGACTTAAAAATATTAGTACCTGAGGGTTAGCCTTTATAATAGGCTTCCAAAAACAGATATCCCCTAAAAGTTTCAGCCTACTCCATTTACCAAACTGTGACTGTGGTAGCATGTAACTAGTTCTCCCTTTTTTTTTTTTTGAGACAGGGTCTCACTCTGCTGCCTAGTCTGGAGTGAAGTAGTTTGATCTGCAGCCTCAACCTCCTGGGCTCAAACAATCCTCCCACCTCAGCCTCTGAAGTAGCTGGGAACAAGGCACGTTGCCACCACGCCCAGCTAATTTATTTTCTTTTTGGTAGAGACAGGGTCTCACTGTGTTGCCCAGGCTGGTCTTGAACTCCTGGGCTCAAGCGATCCTCCTGTCGTGGCCTTCCGAAGTGTGGGAATTACAGTCGTAAGCCACTGAACCTAGCCTGCTCATGTATTCTTATGCTCACAACTCCACGAGGCAAACATCCTGAACTATCTATCATTGCTCTTCACAAAGAAAACTAAGACTCATAGAGGTAAACTAACTTGCCCATACTCCTGCAGCATAAGTGTGGCAGAGTAAGGATTCAGATTCAGGCTAAATTACCTAAATCCAAAGCCAGGTACTTCCTTACCACCTTCTATATTATCTCAAGAAATGATTCATAAAGTAATCTTAATCACAGTTCTGCTGTATAAAAGTATTTTTCAAAGTGTCATATAAACATAATGCAAACAACCCAAAATAATGCTTTTAAACATTCAAATAGTACAGAATTCATAACCCAAATATCTACCAAATGCTTTCATACAATAACAAAATTTCTCATTTTATTCCCATTTATAGAACTAATTAATCATAGTTCTTTGAAGCATTCAGAATTAAATAACCTTCAGGTAACAAGGCCAAGACATGACATAAGGAATCTAATATCTATTATTCTGAAATGTTTCATAAATACCAAAAAGCATTTTTTGACTAAAAGTACGTAGAAATATGTCAAACTTAGTAAAACAAAACAGAAAAAAAACCACAGAGTGTCTATCACTTTCTAGAACAGAACCATGAGCTTCTTTCTATATCTCAGTTTCCACAGCTATAAATTATAGTATTAATCTGAGATCTCTCCCATAAAAGAAATCCTATACTCTGTAAAAGGAACTAAAACTTCAAACCAGATACTAATTTATAATGACTGGCAGTCTGCTACTAGCTGTGCATTTGTTTTTTGATGACAAGAAAAGTACTAAAAAACAAAGTACAATTAACCAATGTACGTAGATATGAAATAAGCTCACTAAAAGTTTACCACTGTAATTCTAACAGCTGTCAAAATTAATTAAAAAATCATTATGATGCAAGCTTTTAGAAATTAACAATTGCTCTTATCAAATAAATTTCATTCTTACAGAGTTTAAGCACTGAATAGATATTATATTGACACAGTTCAAAACTTCAACTGATCAGGTCTATGTGAGGAATGAATGCTCAGAATCCCAACCATCTTACTGTTTAAATTCTCTGAAAATTTTCAGTCAGCCACAATTAAATCTAATCGTTTAAAAAAATTTGAATAAATAAGCTTTCTACGTTATGCTTACTGTAACTTATATGACTTGAGTTCTTGGAGACTTTTATGAGAACTTCGTATTGACCAGAAATAGCAATAATAGCGAACAAAATGATCAAGCATTTCTTAAGAAAACAATTTTAGTAAGTATCTACCTGTGTCAGTTACAACAAGTGCAGACCTGCCTGTTTTCATTTTTTTTAACTTTTCCCTTCCTGGAAAGATACCATTACTTTGCCTTTGTAGGGTATTGACAAACTCAGTCAATTCACACTTCCACATTGATATGTGATGCAGTCTTGAACGAGAATAGAAATTTGAAATAAAATTGCAGTCTGAAGGTTTGGATGGCACTGAAGATGCTGCCTTGCTAAGAGTGGAAACCGAAGAAGTGCTTTTTGTGCTTGAAGGCCCCTGAACAGTGGAATGGTGAGCACCATTGATTTTAGTGTTACTGTGCAAAGGTGATAATGAGAAAGAATTAGTTCTGTGTGGATTCCGCAAAGCATCTGTGTTTCCGGTGCTTTGCTGCAACTGCTGCAGAGCGCAGTCTCTGAAATCAGTGCTGCTCTTCTCAGCCTTCTCCTCCTCCTGGGAAATGTCTAGAGAAAGCCTGCTGGCAACACTGTTGCCCCTGGGCACCAAGCAATCCTGTGTCTTTAAGGCACCATTAGAGCTATGAGTGTGTCCATTAAAAATGGTAGTGCTGCTGCCGGGGTGCGGAATTCCATTCTGTTTCCTTCCCGGAGAGATTTGCTCCAGATCCACAAAACTAAAATCAGTATTTTCACCTTCTTCATTCCAGCTGTTTACTCCATTGACTGTGACTTCATTTTCTGTCTCAGTCTTCTTAACAATGTGATTTCTAAAGCAGGAAAAAAATTTTAAGTTAATAATGTCTGACTTTTAGGTTAAAATAATCTTTTCGTTGCAACATTTTCTTAGTGGCACATACTTTGGTATTTCCCTCTTTAAAAACTGAGAATTGCCAGGCATGGTGGCTCAGGCCCATAATCCCAGCACTCTGGGAGGCAGAGGCGAGTGAATCACAAGGTCAGCCTGGCCAAAATGATGAAACTCCGTCTCTACTAAAAATACAAAAAATTAGCTGGGCATGGTGGTGATAGCACCTATAATCCCAGCTACTCTCAAGGCTGAGGGAGGAGAATCGCCTGAACCCAGGAGGCAGAGGTTGCAGTAAGCCGAGATCGCGCCACTGCACTCCAGCCTGGACAACAGAGCGAGACTACATCTCAAAAAAATAAAAACTTGAGAATTATTATATTGAATATTGACAATTAAAAAAAACCCTGAAAATTAAACCACAAACTTTACATTCTGATTTGACAAAAAGTTATTTTCAAAAGTAGCAAGGTAATTAGAAAAATTCTAGAATATTAACAGCCCTTTGGGTGTTGTTTTTTTTTTCATTTTAACTTCAGATAGTCCCAAAGAAGAAATGCAACAGAATCTTTCTCACAGCTGAAAAAAAACCCAAAAAACTTTTCAATGATTTTTTCCATAAAAAATTAATTGGAATATATAAGTTTTAAATATCCAGTTCTAAAGCACAATGCTCGGCATTTACTACAAGGTCAATAAATATCTGCTGAATATACTACAAATAATTTACATAAAAATGGATTTTAAAACCTTACTTAAATTCGTGTTCCTAGTTTTAGTTTTTATGAAAGGTACTATTCAACACATTAAATCCAGTATGAAACCAGTGGTTTCGGTAGAAAAAAACTGACTATCTTAATTAACCTATTAATGGAGCTAACTGTTGCACAAGTTTACAAAAAGTAAGAGTCATGTCAACGTGTGGGGTAATTCAGTAAAATTTATACCTAGAAAAATGAGGACACTTGCCTTATTGACAAGGGAAATTGTACTTCATTGCTAAGAAAAGCATATTTAGATGCCAGGGTGTACAAGGCAGTTTGTACCAAGTTGCTTTACGACAGCTTTATAAATGCAGAACCTATGACAAATGCTATGCTAAAGTCACATCCTGGCTCCTCTAGAAGTTTGTTTAGTAATGACTTCAAGAGAATCATTTAAGTAACAACAACAAAAACCTGAATTACAAACAGTTATTTATTCTACTTAGAAATGTCCACATGTCCACAGAATTAATTCAATTACCATGCAGGCTCCAGATGAAGGGCTACCCTACAGAGTAGTAAGGCACAGGTGAAATTGCGACAGTATTACCAGGTTTCACCTAAAGCCCCTCATCCTAATACTAACTTGGTTTATTAGTAATGAGAACCTGACTACACAGAAAAGTCCCACAAGTTGGATGATCACCCATTTCTGGGTTAGCTCAGGCTCTGGCTAACCACTGCATGGAATGTGACAGGCAACTCTGAGTAGATCACATCCTCACAGATGATCATGCCAGTGAAGGGGGAAAAAGAGAAACTGGATATGATTAAAAGAAAAAAGAAGGCCAGGTGCGGTGGCTCATGCCTGTAATCTCAGCACTTTGGGAGGCCGAGGCAGGTGGATCACGAGGTTAAGAGATCGAGACCATCCTAGTCAACATGGTGAAACCCCGTCTCTACTAAAAATACAAAAATTAGCTGGGCATGGTGGTGCGTGCCTGTAATCCCAGCTACTCAGGAGGCTGAGGCAGGAGAATTGCCTGAACCCAGGAGGCGGAGGTTGCGGTGAGCTAAGATCGCGCCGTTGCACTCCAGCCTGGGTAACAAGAGCGAAACTCTATCTCAAAAAAAAAAAAAAAAAGAAAAGAAAAGAAAAGAAAAAAGAAAACCTAATATGTCACATGCAGAGAAAGCCCCTGAGATAAAGAGAAAAGGGAACAAGAAGTTACAGAAGCCCATTTCAAAAAAATGTACAAAATGTATTAAATACACACACACAAAAACACAGAAAATAACAAAACTGACGCACGTCAGAAAGTCTTACATCTAGTTTTGTGCCAAAAACATTAAGATCCTTTAAATGCGTTACAGCAACACATGCAATAGAAGTCCATATATTGGCAGGAGAATACATTGTTAACATACATTCTTCCTGTACTATAGTTTCTCAGCCTAGACAAATGGACATTTGCAAAGTAGCTATACTGGAAATATCACCAGTAGAGAATACATTTCTCAGGCAATGGCATAAATGTATTAAGAAGTAAAATCTAATAGGTAATTTCTTCCTAAAAGTGTCACCAAGAAGATTTTGAAAAAACGTATCTATTTTCTACTTTTATTAGTGTGGGTAAGAAAAGATAAAGCTGTGTATTCTGTGAAAAGGTTTTCAGGTATTATTTGCTATATACACCCTGACAGTACATTAAAAAAAATTAAAAGCTTTAGGTATCATGAAAAAAATTTATGCTTATGAGTACAAGTTAAATAAAAATGACAACAAAATTACAGAAGGCAGTGATACCGGATCCTCTCAGACTAATTAGACTCCTGGTCTTTTGGAAAAAAAAAATATATATATCTGATTCCCAAAGCAAGCAATTTAATAAATAAAGAGGCTAATCATAATGAACCACCTGATATATACATGGTAAGGCAACCCACCAATTAATTGTGAAACCAATTTATCCAGGATTGCAATTAAAGCTTAAATCAATCTTTAAAAAAAAGCCACATGGAATAAAGTCTAGATTAACTCTCAATTCTATAACCAACAGTCACCAGCTAAACTTCCATTTATGTAAAATATTAATATATTTAGAATTGTGGTTATGCAATCTAGAAATGTTAACATTTTCATTGACTTTCTACGCATGGAACACAACGAAAATACAGCTGGTGCAGTTAGTTCGGTGTTTGAGAATGCAATGTAGCACATATTATTTGTGAGGAAATAATTACTTCCATGAAAATCCATGAAAAAACTTACTAATAAAGATCCACTAGTTTAACATGAGAAACTACTATGATTATAAAAACTTATTTACATTTATGAAATTTTCATCATAAAAACAATTTTTAGATAAGACACTCGCACACACATATTTCATTATGTTTACTGTAAGTGAATGACTAGGGTTCATATCTGCTTCTGCCTGTCTGCAACAGAGCAGGGGCCATGCTTACTGCTAAAAACTAGCTTTGCAGTAATTCCCAATCAGACAAACTTACACCCTGTTGTTGAGCTGTCTGGCTATATTGCTTGGACCTGGCACAGGATCTTCAGGTCTGCATACAGGATTAAAGCTGAGACCTTTCTGCACACTGGACTGCTTGGTGTACAGCTGATATGGAATGTAGGAGAGGAGGCGTCCAGCTTTGATGCTGAAACAAAAAAGCAACACCAATTTAGAGTTCCATACTTGGTGACAATGAGCCTCATGAAAAAAATTAATGTCATTAAACATAGAGTATTTCACCAACAACAGGCCATCTGTTTTCCTACTTTATTCCTTCTTGCTCAGTTTTAGTGGTCCTAATACAATATGATCTTAGAGCGGGATGAGAAAAACTCCAAGCACAGAGCTGAACTAGTTAATATTTTAATCCTCATGACTTTAATATTTACCACTATTCCCCCTGTCAACAGTTAACAGAGAATCATTAAGAATTCCTCAAAACCTCATCTCACATATTAAGCTTTTCCAGGATAAATAAACTGAATAAGGATTCTCAGTTTTCAAATTCATGTCAGAAACTGTAAAATAAAAATACAGGACAAAATAAAGAATCTCAACTTCAAGAGTAATAAATAATTTATACTATTTTTATGTGTATAAGAGCCAAGGCCATTTGAAGATATGAACTCTACAAAGGCCGAAGCTACCACGTACATCCTCACAACATACACATCACTACTCAAATCCAGGGGAACGCCAGTATTATAACACTAGGTGGTACCAGCACTGTAAGCTCCCTAATGTCTGCTTCCTTTTGTACTTCAGAACTAAAACTAATTTGATTGCAGCATCTTAAACTGGTATTTTCTTGCTAATAAACTCAGTTATATATGGCTACTCTACCTTTAAAACTATTGTTTCACTTCAAATTTGAAATAACCAACCAATATACTTATGCTATCAACCAAATTCCAATACAAGCTCCTTTAATATTAGAAAATATTTCAAAACAACTTCTGGATTTTAAACCCAAAATATATACCACAGAATCATCCCTTAGTTATTTAGGAAAAAGACTGATAAATAACATAATAAAAATACTATTCTTATTGTCTCAGAAATCCAAGACTTTTGACATTTTCATTTAAATGGCACCTCACAAAACTTTTTTAAAAACAGTAATCATTTAAGAAATGACTGAAATGGGCTTACAGAAAACCAATTAAAAATACTGAATCAACAAGTGTGAATACAGGAAAACAGATTCTAAAAATGGAACTATATATGATACAGAATATGTCCTTTATATAATTATGTCAATATCTATTTAATAATTCTCCCTAAAATACCTTAAACTATATCAGATGCTATAACTACTAAATTATGATAGTAAAGAACACACTATACTAGTCACAAGACATGTACCCAAATGGATTTATTAACAGGCTAAATGTTTTATCAAAATTTCTGCTTATATTCAGATATTAGAATCAAAATCCTAAAATTAGACTATTTTTTACTTTATTCTTCCTCAAACCAACTTTTCTTCCTTTAATAGTTGGTCTCAATTGCCTAACGATAAATCTTTGTTCTACGGCATTATGTTCCTCAAGTCACCTGCTTCCCCCACCAAAAGTAGTACAGGTACTCCACATCCGAAGTAAAATCCTAATCTTAGCTTTCCATCCTTTATCACAGACCACTATAACTAAGGGATAAGTAAAAAGTGAAACTACATCCACTGTGCCAGCTGCACATCTCAGGTAAACAAAGTGCCCTCCAATCATGCTCACTTTTCCTGCCCTACTGATAGCATGCTGGAGTGATGCAGACTCTACAGGTGCTCTCTATGGTCAGCACTAATCATATCATGTACAAGGGTATAAGGCCTTGTCCAACTGCTAACAAGAGCTATGTGGACACCCAGCAGAATTCTTAGGCTTACATAAGTCAGTCCATGGAGACCGTTACAAAATTAGACAGCCAATTAAATACCGTAGGTCTCAAATCAGATATCCTCAGGGACTCTTAGTAAAAAAGACCTTTTTGTATAAGACCTTTTCAAAAATCTGGGATTAATTTCTCACATTTACTAATTTCCCCTCTTGTCCTAAGCACAAAGGAACTATACTGACATTTTCTACTATTCTTTCAAAACCAAAAAGAGAGGATAATAAAACTTATCTTTATCCACAAGATATTACTACAGTTTCCTTATATGCTGAATTTTATGTACATTGAAAATATATTCTGATATATGTATATATATATATATATATGAAAGTTTACATTCTATACAACAAATCAAAACATAGTCATAACAAGCTAAATATTAATCTATTTTACTTTTGCTTTGTCCTATGGCCTCTGTGTTTAGGCAGAACACAAAAACACAAGGGAAATGGGAAAAAACAAGTCATGAGAGATAAAACTGCAATCAACTTTTATTTAAATGAGTTGAATAAGCACTCTAATATTTACACTGAATGTGATTCGAAACCAAGGTTTTGGCTCATATGTAAGCACATAACAAACATGTGTAAAACGGTTTGGGAGTTTAGAAAGAAGATAAACTCAAAGTCCTACTAGTAGATACCATTGAGTTGGCATGAACGGAAACAATAAATTATCATTCTGTTTCAACTGACAACAGATCTATGTGACCATCTAATCACAGAATAAACAAATATAAAAAACCCACACTACAAGGTTCCCAATCTACAAGGATCAACACAAAATCGAGAACAACAAAAAACAAGACCAATTTTTAAATTATGCTCCATGACACTCCTCAGGCTTGATGGACCAGTGGGATATGTCATAGCGGCTTCTCATTATCTATTCTGCATTTCAAATTTCAATGTAAAATTGTCTCAAGACAAAGACTATGACAAAAGTTTTTAGAAGCATTACTTTTAATACACTATCTACAAGTATGAAATTTACAAAACAAAGGTTTTAGTGAAATAATTTCATACTTTAATGTACACAGGGTTCTCTCTAAAGGACTCCCTTGCTTCTTAAAAGTCAGGGCTCTATAATCATGCCTACATTAACTCAGATCTAATGACACAAACACTGACATCAGGGAATTGGAATGAAAGCAACAACGCACATTCTTAAAAGTGGCAGTTCCTTATCAAACTGCTCGAATAAAAACAAAAACTAATTATACAGAATAATATGCATCATTTATTAAATAGCCAACACAATGTTAAGAGTTTTAAGTATAATAAAATCTCATTAAAAGACAGCTAAAAAGAGATCAATCAGGGATTAGAGTGTGAATAAAAACAGTGTCATGATTTAACCGAAAGGATTCCATGTTACAATGACATAATGAACTCTTGGCATTTAAGACATATGCCAACACTGATCCATTTCCACATGGGCCAGCTCATCTATAACAAGCTTAAATAAATGGTAAAGGAGGAAACAAACAGGATTCAGAACACCTGGACACTAAATCCTGCTCTGTTCTTGGGCAAATCAGTGAACCCTACCAGCCCTGTCTCCTCAATACAAAATGAGGCCAACAGGATATATAATCATGCTGTCCGAAGTCACTTTCAATTATTTAAAGACAAATAATTAAGCCTCACTCCAGACTAAGATAAAATCCATTAAAGTGAATTTTAAAACATGTAACTATCTAAGTTGTTTCTTCTGTTTTATTTATCTCCCTAGCTGCATTTGGCAAAAAGAACACATGCAAAGAAAACAACTATAATGGAAAATACCATTTTCTTTTATTTTCTTTTTTTGAGATGGAGTCTTGCTCTGTCACCCAGGCTGGAATGCGGTGGCATGATCTTGGCTCACTGCAACCTCCACCTCCCAAGTTCAAGCGATTCTCCTGCCTCAGCCTCCTGAGTAGTGGGATTACAGGAATGTGCCGCCATGCCTGGCTAATTTTTGTATTTTTAGTAGAGATGGGGTTTCACCATCTTGGCCAGGCTGGTCTTGAACTCCTGACCTCGTGATACACCGATATCAGCCTCCCAAAGTTCTGGGATTATAGATGTGAGCCACCACACCCAGCTGTAAAACACCATTTTCTAAGTAAATCAAATCCTCCCAGCAAGAGCCCTTTCCCCTCAACTCTCCTGTCCATAGAAATCTCCCATTCCCTCCAAAGCCTACCTGTTGACCCCAGAAAAAAAATTCTAGTCCTAGTGACAGCACAGCTCAACTATGTGATACAGCTTCATATATGGAAAACTTCTCAGTCCTTTGAAGAGACACATTCCTAAAAGCCATTTTAATCAATACTATATCATGGACAGATAGCGGCTAGGTCATGAGACCACAGTGTAAAGGAAGGAATCAGTGGGTTGTTCTAGGAACTAACCTTTGACTTTATCCCTCAAGGTTTAAAGAATCCTTAATATGTAAAATATATTTGATTTTCTAAAGGTAGTAACATATTTTTGAATTTTCAGAATTTTCTAATAATTGCTAATTTACAGAATGAAAATAAAATAACAGTACCTTCTTATATATTATACCTCTACAACATGCTAGGCACTGTGCCAGGTTATATGCACAAACAATTTTTATTTCTCACATACCACAGTAGGTATTAGCCTTCTTTCACAAATGAGGAAACAGGTTCTGAGTGACTGCGTAAAGCTGCTTTTGTTTTTTTTTTCCCCAAGATGGAGTCTAGGTCTGTCGCCCAGGATGTAGTGCAGTGACACAATCTCGGGTCACTGGAGCCTCTATCTCCTGGGTTCAAGCAATTCTCCTGCTTCAGCCTCCCTCGTAACTGGAATTACAGGTGCAAGCCACCACTCCCAGCTAATTTTATAATAGAGACAGGGTTTTACCACATTGGCCAGGCTGGTCTCGAACTCCTGAGCTCAGGTGATCTGCCCGCCTCAGCCTCCCAAAGTTATGGGATTACAGGTATGAGCCACCATGCCTGGTCACACATAAAGTTTCTAAAATTATACCAGTTTATATGGATACTGAACTGCCAAGTTTGGACGTGAAGCCAAGAATGTCCCCAGAGCCCAGGCGCAGGCTTCTCCACTATGTTGTTTCTCTCCGTGAATTTATGCAGCTAAATACACTATACAAAGGAACTGAGTTAATAATTTGTGGAACAGTTCATGGAGGGTGTCGTAATTAGTAAAATCAAGAACTAGAAAAAAGAAAATTCGGCAACTCAAAGAGATAAACAAGCTCTCATATATTGATTATAATCTATCCATACATAAAATTATTATTTTTAATATTTTTACTTCTATTTTTTATAAATCAGCAATTGCTCACATGTATTGTATACTGCATGCCATTTAAAAATATAAACCACTTAAGTTCTGGCTCATTCCCCAGGTTTCAGATGACATATTTAAACGCAGAAGTCAATATGAATGGCCACCACCGATTCACAATTTATCATTTCCAAACTGACAGCAGAGGAACCACAATATAATCATTAAAAAACAGCAAATGATATTTCAAACTCTGCTCCCTACTTTTCCCCTACTCCCAGCATTCCAGGTCCACATTATCTTGATGCATTAACATGCTAAAAACCTATATAATAGACAACATGATATAATTTATTCATAGTACTCAGTCTCTCTCCCTCAACAGAATATAAACTCCATGAGGGAATGAAGGAATCTTTTTGTTCATTGTTATTTCTCAAAAACAAGGAAGACTGCCTACTCCGTCAGAGGTGCACAAATAATTGTTGAATCACATGCTTGACCCACTTTCTCCCATAACTGCTTCCTGAGTCATCACCCCTAATTACTGGCAAAAACATTATCATACTACTTTTATTAGAATGCCAAATCCTAAGCTATAGAACCATCAACCTGAGGTTAAAGAGTAGTGTTAAGACATTATTTTTTACCCTGTCAATTAGGAGGCAATACATAGGAGAGAGTTACGTATTTTTAAAAGAAAGAAAAAGGACAGGTGCAGTGGTTGTAGTCCCAGCACTTTGGGACGCCAAGGCTGGAGGACTGCTTGAGTTTGTAACCAGTATGGGCAACATGGTGAAACTCATCTCTACAAAAAATACAAAAAAAATCAGCCAGGTGTAGTGGTGCATGCCTGTAGTCCTAGCTACTCGGGCAGCTGAGGTGGGAGGGTTGCCAGAGCCTGGGAGGTTGAGGCTGTAGTCAGCTGTGATTGTGCCACTGCACTCTAGCCTGGGCGACAAAGCGAGACCCTTTCTCAAAAAAAAAAAAAAGAGAAAAAGAAAGTTTCCTAATTTTAAAAAACTTATTAATTAAGTTTAATAAAAAATTAGACTTACCTTTCCACAATCCATTCTGGTCGAATTACTTTTTCCCCCTTTAATTCTTTAATTTTGGCATTAGGAAGATTTGTGGCAATAATGTGTGTTGTTTTGGATCTGGAATAATATACATGATATTGACCTCCATGCAACATCATTAGTTTTCTCAATTCCTCAGCAGAAGGATCTGTAAAATTTATATTAAAATATATTAAGAGTCTTATGTGTAAGAAAGTAGAACCCTAGTGAATAACTCCTTAAACAGACCCACTTAAAGAATACCATTGGCTCACCTTCTCCTTTGCTGTGTTGCTAGTAAACAAAGCTAGGAGGTAAATCAAAAAGTGAGAAAGCTATGTTACTTTAGCACATCCTCCGTCCCTGGCTGCCAGACAGCCAACTAATACAAAACCATCTAAGAAGTGCCTAGCAGAGCAAATAGAGACCTCAAGTAATGAATCAAATACTAATAACCGAACAAATATTTTTACATTTTTTACCATATTTAGCACATGACCTTGATATTATGATTTAATAAAATATCTTAAAACTTAATCAAATAGTAAATATTATCCAGTTCCCTAATATGAAATGGCATCAAGACCAAAAAATGAAGTCAAGCAATACAAAAAAGATTGCAGGCTGGGTGCGGTGGCTCATGCCTATAATCCCAACACTTTGGGAGGCAGAGGCAGGCAGATCACCTGAGGTCAGGAGTTCAAGACCAGCCTTACCAACATGGAGACACTCTATCTCTCTACTAAAATACAAAAAATTAGCCGGGCATGGTGGCGCATGCCTGTAATCCCAGCTATTTGGAAGGCTGAGGCAAATGAAATGCTTGAACCTGGGAGGCAGGAGTGGCAGTTAAGCAGGATCACACCATTGCACTCCAGCCTAGGCAACAAGAGCAAAACTCCAACTCAAAACTAAACAAAAAGATTGCAAACCAAAAAACACCTTTTTTAAAAAAAATGTTTTTGATTCAAATGATTTATTCTTAATAAAACTACAGAAAATATCTTAAATACTGGAAATATTTTAAGAAAATATCTTAATCAATATGACTTATGCTTCCTCCAGTAAGAAATGTCTGATTCACCAAAGGTATACTATGACCTGCATTACTACCATCACATTAATCACCACGGTTCTTTCTCTTTCACCTATCATCCTAATGAATGCTCTCACACCTCCCCTAACAACAGCTGTAGCCAGAGGGAGTTTTCACATGTGGCTTATGCATCCATTTTGCTATTAAAAGATTTTCCTGACAGGGCATGGTGGCTCACGCCTGTAGTAATCCCAGCACTTTGGGAGGCTAAGGCGGGCAGATCACGAGATCAAGAGATCAAGACCATCCTGGCCAACATGGTGAAAAACCCCATCTGTCTCTACTAAAAATACAAAAATTAGCTGGGCATGGTGGCACGCGCCTGTAGTCCCAGCTACTCGGGAGGCTGAGGCAGGAAAATCACTTGAACCCGGGAGGCAGAGGCTGCAGTGAGCTAAAATCATGCTACTGCACTCCAGCCTGGCAACAGAGCAAGACTGTCTCAAAAAGAAAAAAAAAAGATTTGCCTTAATCCCAAGCAATATAGGTCCAAGTATTTAAGTAAACATTTTCATTATGACAATAATTAGGTGAGCTTTAGTTTCTAGGAGATTAAAAAACAGCATATACTGTCAGACATACCAGTTTGTCTAATTTACAGCACAGAATTTGACATTATTGAGTACAAATATTAGCATTATTCAGTAGAAAACATAATGCAAGTCATATAAATAAAAATCTTCTAGCAGCCTCATTAAAAATAGTGAAAAGGTAAAATTAAGTTTATTTAACCCAATAGATCCAAAATATTATTTCGACACGTAATCAATAGAAAAAAATATGAGATATTTACATTCTTTTTCTTCTTAAGTCTCTGGAATCCAGTGGGTATTTTATGTTTACAACACATCTTAATTTAGAATAGCCATATTTCAAGTGCTTAATGCATGTTACTAGTGGCTACCACAGTGGGCGGTATCATACAAAGAGATTTAAAAGCATACTTTTAAATAAAATAAATTCAAAATTCATAATGGAAGATTTTCAGGATTAAGTTAAAAAACTGAACGCAGTAGAAGTTAAACAGCTAGCCAGTTAGAAATCTACAGTTTAGTTTCTTTCTCTAATATTGAAGAACTTGGCTAATCTTATAAAATAACAGTGAGAAATACCAAATTAAAGGCTAGCAAATCCAATGAAATCACAGAAATCTAAAAAATTACTTTGCAAGTTAATCTATAACCTTCCTAAACTAATTCCATTTAATGACTTAAACAGAAAATGGCTGTCCTTTACTGAATTAAAAAAAATGTCAAGAACACATTAACTTTCCATATACATACTCATAAAATACTCTCCCCTCTACTAGTTACTCTTTGAAAACTAATTACTCCAGAAATTTGGAACTGGAAAATACTCTGCCCTTCTACTAGATGAAGTTAAGAGGGCTCTCTGAAGTTCACTTTTGAAAGCTCTTACATATTCTTCAGTGTGAAGTGAAGCATGAAAACCGATCTAGTTAAAAGGTAATATCACATGAAATATGGAGCAAGACTGATCTAAGTTTAATCTCAGCTTTCACACTCCTGAGTTGTGTGACTTTGGAGAAGTTATAGAACTTCTTTAGGCTTTCTCCATAAATAAACAAAGCTGTTACAATGAAATGAGTCTGGCACATAGAAAGCACTCAATATGAAAACTGCTATTATTATAAACTATGATCACACTAGAACTCCTTTCAAGAAATGTATATATGCCCGGGCTCCTGCCCTAGACTCTACAAAAAAAAAAAAAAAAATGACAGAAGACAATATACATAGGCTAGCACATGGTGGCCCTAAGTTTCAACAAAAACAGACCTGTCAATAGTGAATATGGACAGTAGCCTGGAACCACTTTGTCAGGCTCAACTGCCTGGCATGCTAACTTCTGGCATGTATGGTAGCTAGTGGCTACCCCATTTTGATTTTTTAAAAATTTTATAATAGTATTTCTCTCTGGTTCTATTTCTCAATACTGGAACATACTCCCTCCCTTATTACAAGTCCAAAAGAATATATACAGTAACTGCAGATTTGCATAATAAATTCATTTTTGTATTTAACACTCTCCTTTAATTCAGCAGATGTGGGGTTAATTAGAAAAAAAAAACTGGGAGCCAAGCACAGTGGCTCACGCCTGTAATCCCAGCACTTTGGGAGGCCAAGGCTGGCAGATCGCTTGACCTAAGGAATTCGAGATCAGCCTGCGCAACAAAGCAAAACCCTGTCTCTACAAAATATAGAAAAAAATTAACTAATTGTGGTGCATGCGACTGTTTCAAATCAACATAAAAAAAAAAAAGAAAAGAAAGAAAAAAAAGGAAAAGAAAAAAATGGGGAGATAATATCCAACACCATGAAAGCTATATGACATTAAACACTGTGTGACAAACTGTCTACAGAACCCATCCCTGCAGTGTACTATACCAGTTAACTTTCCCCAGAGCACTGATAATCTGAAATTACCATGTCAGTTTGTTTACTTGTTTTTTTGTTTTTTTAGATGGAGTTTCACTCTTTTTGCCCAGACTGGAGTGCAATGGTGCGATCTTGGCTTACTGCAACCTCCGCCTCCTGGGTTCAAGCAATTCTCCTGCCTCAGCCTCCCGAGTAGCTGGGATTACAGGCATGCACCACTACGCCCAGCTAATTTTGTATTTTTAGTAAAGACACGGTTTCTCCATGTTGGTCGCGCTGGTCTCCAACTCCTGACCTCAGGTGATCCACCCTCCTCAGCCTCCCAAAGTGCTGGGATTACAGGCAAAAGCCACGGAGCCCGGCCTGTTTACTTGCTTACTGTCAGATTCCCTGCTGGAACATATGCTCTTTGAAGGCAGGAACCTTGTCTATCAAATAATTTCATATCCCTGACACAAAGCAGGTGTTCAGTGAGTATTTGCTAAATTCATTAACATTCTCAATGCATCACAGACTCCTGCCTAGAATCCATCCTCCAAAAAATTGGGGTATAAGTGGCATCAATACTTTAAATCTCAAAACACTTATTTACTCGTTCACAAATTAGAGAGGCCATGTAATGTATTAGGAGGCCAGACTCCAAAGCAAGAATGACTAAGTTCAAATCCTAGCTCCATCACTTGCTACTTACGTGGATTTCTCAGAACCTCTGTTTTCTCATATGTAAACTGGGAATAATAATAGTGTCTCAGAGGACTTCTGTGGGAATTAAGAGCTAAAAACAATAAATTACTGAGAAAAGTGTCTTGCATATAGTAAGAATTATGTGTCAGCTCTTAAAAATATTATCAGTATTATTTTTACCATCTCCTACCCCAAACCAGGAAGCAAGAAGGAGCTCTAGAACTAAGGCTGCTCTCTATTCACACAAAACATTAAATTCTGCAATTCATAATCCCGTCTACAAATCCTTCTCTTGTTGCTCTTCAGTATATATTCCTTCAAGACTGTCCTTGACGTATTGGCAAAGAATAAGAACAGAAAATTAAAAATCAAAACAAAACAAAACTAGATTCAGGGAAATTCTATTCTCCAAATTTTTACAACCAATGTCACTGTTTTGAAATGTCAGAGTGAGTGCTTTTCTCCTCATTGTTCTTTTCGTTTTTATTTAATTTTTTAGAGACAGGGTCTGGTTCTGTCACCCAGGCTGGACTGTAATGGCTCTGTCATAGCTCATTGTAACCTTGACCTCCTGCCTCATGCTTCTAATTTGAAAGATTTGGGAGGCTGAGGCAGGAGGTTCACTTGAGGCCAGAGTTTGAAACCAGCCTTGGGAACACAGCAAGATCCTGTCTTAAAAAAAAAAATCTAAAAATTAGCCAGGTATGGTAGCACACACCTCTAGTCCCAGCTACTCAGGAGGCTGAGGCAGGAAGATTCCTTGAGCTCAGGAGTTTGAGGCTGCAGTGAGCTATTATCAGTCCACTGCACTCTAGCCTAGGTGACAGAGCAAGACCTTATCTCAAAAAAATAAATAAGTTAAGTTCCACAATACTCCTACTATTAGTTTTATTTTGCAGAACATTCTATATGCAACTAAATTTGAGGTTTAAGTAAAACCAGACATAGTACGTGACAACTGAAAGCACAATAAAAGTAAATTATATACAC